CTCCTCACTGCCACTTCCAAGCTCTTCTCCCTCTCTCCCTCCCTGCAAGACCCCCAGCTTTGAATTTCATGTCACCGAATGTCACCAGTTACCCAGCTATCACCGTCATCTTCCAATTTCTGGGTCATACCTCATTTAAAAATTCTAGGTCCTGACTCACTGTCATTAGGTAACAGAACTATTGTCTTAATTCTTTGTGACTTCAGAAAGTACTTAAATGGACTTTCCAGTGGCCTGAAGCTTCAGTTCCTTGATTTTCTTTCTTATAATGACTTTGTCTTCAGCTTGTCAGTCCTGTTGTGCTTGGGCGTTAGACCTTGACACTGCCATCACACAGCCCAGCTATATAATCTCCAATTCAGAGTTCATCCACCACCTCCTGCCTCTCAGCTCGTTCCCTTGTTACCCTGCTCTGCCAGCACTGGACACTCTGAGATCTCGTGCTGCTCTCAGGTCACAGCTCCTCACCTCTGGACGCCTGTTGTCTTCCCCAGCCAGTGTAACTTTCCATGTCAGTCATTGTAACGACTTCCCTGCACATACCCTCGTCTCTCTTGCCCCCTCTTGCTTTAGTCCCCTCTCCTCTTTTTGATGTTAGTAAAACTATAACCCAGGTTAAATTTGATTTCTTTTGCTCTGAAGTAGCTGAATGTGGCTCCAGGAAAGTGCTGATTGGGCCTCACTGGACGTAAATGACCTCAGCTCTCAGGTGCTTCCCTTTTGCTGCTCAGTGGTCCCACAGTAGTGCCTGTCAGTCCCTCCAATCCGTTCCCTCTCCCACTCTCCTCAAGGACTGGATGATGGCCGCTCAGACCCACCACTCTCCCTCCCAGGGCCTACTTCTGGTTGATTTCCATACTTGGTACCTTACTAAGAAAATGGAAATTCCACCTACTATACTGACTTTGCATTTTTTCTCCATGTGTTTAGATGTAGATTTTTAAATTATTTATCCTACTTTGGTTATTTGGGGTTCTTGAGTCAGCAAATTCGTGTATTTCATCAGTTCTGGAATTTGCTTAACCTTTATCTCAAATATTGCCTCTGCCCCATTCTTTCCTTATCTGAGACTTCAGTGTAAAATGTTCTCACCTGATATTTTCTTTCTTAATGTCTCTTCTGCATTTTCTGTCATTTTGCTCTCTGTGCTGCCTTCTGAATCATTTCTTTTTACCTGTATTCCAGTTTCCTTATATACTCTTCATTTCTCTGTGAGCTGCTATTAAACCGGAGTTCTTTTTTGCTTTGTTTGTTTTTTTGTTTTGTTTGCAGGGGTAAGTAATTAGGCTTATTTATTTATTTAGAGGAGGTACTGTGGATTGAACCCAGGACCTCATACACGCTAAGCATGCGCTTTACTGCTTGAGCTATACCCTTCTTCCTAAACCCAAGTTCTTAATTTTAGCAATTTTGCTTTCCAGTTCTAGAAGCTGTGTTTGTTCCTTTTCGGTTCTGCTCTCCCTTAAAATTTCCTGTTCCTTACAGATCTTTTCAGGCTTGTCTTTTATTTCTTTAAACAGAGTAAGCTTAATTTTATCTTATGGGTCCAATAACTCTGGCATCTTGAAGCCTTTGCAGGTATTAGTCTGTGTCCAATCACGAGAGCAGAAACCACTGAGATGTTGGAGCAGAGAAGGAGTTAGTGAAGTATTTGATAGCAGAGGTGCTAGAAGGATTCAGGGAGGAGGGCTGGCTGCTGCTGCTGTGGTCTCCTGCCTCTGCTCTTCCCCACTCCCTTGTAATTTCCCACCAGTCCTTCCTTTTGGAGTGACCTAGCAAGGTCCCAGCTGGCAAGACGTCTCATATGTAGTTTTCAGACCTCTCACCCCCTGCAGCAGAGGCAGAAGAGAACTGAATACCAACAGGCCGGCTCTGGAACTGGGTATTTGCCATCTGTTGTTTTTGCTGTTGGTTCTTGTTCCTAAAGTCTTGTTTGTCTTTGTGTGCCTGGTTATTTTTGGATACTGGCATTTCAAAATTACTTGCAATAATTTGAAGCCTTGAGGCTTTTCATTTGCTTGTCAGATGCCTGGGAGTCCTACCTGTCTGGGATATGAGATTACAAAAACAATTGAATACCAGAACTTTCTTATACTTCAGCCTAGTAGAATTTATGATCTTAAATGATCTGGAGACCTAGTTCTTCATTTTAGTCCCAACTGTTTATCAGTGCTGCAATTCATCTATCCATTCCGCAGATATTTGAGCTCCTTTGTGCTAGATGCTGGCTTTAATCGGTGAAGAGAAACCAGTTTGAGGGGTGGTAATATACTTATGGGGGATACAACCTAAGTCATGTATACTGTTAGAAAGTGAAACACTTTATGATAAATAGAGTAGGAAAGGGGAAATTGGGAGTGGAGATGGGAGGGTTATAGTTGTCTCTGAAAAGGTGACATTTTGAATGAAATGAGCCAGTAGGGCATCAGCAGAAGAATAGAGCCAGTGCAAAGGCCCTGAAAAACAGGGAAGGAGGCTGGTGTGACTGGGCAGAAGGGCTGAGGGTGGGTGGAGCAAAAAGAAAGAAGAGATGAAGTAGGACCTTGATGGACCTTGTAAGGACCCTTGCTTTGAAAGTGAGCTGATGGAGAGTTCAGAGGAATGAAATGATCTGACTTCTGTTTGAAGAGGCTCACTCTGGTGACTGTTGGTTGGAATGCATTTTCTTTTTAATGAAGTAAAAAATTAATTGGGATTTCAAGAACACATGATCTCTACCTGTTTATGTGTTAAGTTTATTCAAGAATAATATAGCACCTGCCATGAGTATAGTGTTCCTGTGTGGGTCATCTAGGCTATAACCAAGTGAATAAAATAGTGGTTGCTTTCTAGGATCTGTGTTTATTATATATGACCGTTTATTTATAAGTAGCCATTCTTATGTAGTCTGATGTCTTATTTTAATGACCTGTATTTAATGATCAACACAAGCAGTTAGCATTAAGATCTGAAAATTATTCTCCATGTTACTTTTCGGTATAATTAATTAGTGTGTCTGAGTTATATCTCATTTTTTATTTCTTTCTCACCAAGAGAACTTTTAATGTTTCCATATATATGACATAAGAACACATAATTTTTTTCATCTATGGTGGAGTCATCTTGACTGTTATGATTGTTCTTTATAAAGAGCTGCTCTGAGTCTTGAAGTACCATTTGTAAGTTTCCTGAAAAGTTTTTATATCTGCCTCGGGTTTTATATCTGTCCTACAGGGGTGCTGGGGACCACTGCTGACTATGTGTTTCTCCATTATACTTTTGACTTAGCAGTGTTTTGACAGTTCCTAGGTATAAATAAAGGAGAATTAATGGGTAGTTTAGTCCCTGAATAGTCAGTCTAGTGCTTCAGTAGAAATGTATGTGGGAGGAGGGAATACAGGGTTTCCCTTTCTGTTCATTTATTTCCACATTTTGTTTTTCAATTGAATTTAATTAAAATGGGGCTAGCCAAACATCTGAGTCAGTTAACAGCTTGTAAGAAGAAACAAGCAATTCAGACAAGTCTTTGCTGTTGGGGTTGATATGGTAGTTTTTCATTTGAATATTTCACTGTTATTTTACTTTTTACTCAGGAAGGGACATAGAAAAATTATCAAGATATAAATGTACAGCTTAGTGAATTATCTAAAAAAAAAATCCACTCTTCATATATTGATGGTAAGAATGTAAAATGGTGCAGCCACTTTGGAAAACAGTCTGGCTGTTTCTCAAAAAGTTAAACAGAGTTACCATATGACACATCAGTTTTACTCCTAGATATATATCCAAGGGAAGTAAACGCATGTCTACACAAAAACATATGCAGCTGTTCATAGCCGCATTATTCATAATAGCCAACAAGTGGAAACAAGCCGAAGGGCCATCTTTTGATGATAGATAAACAGAATGTGGCATATTCATAACAATGGAATATCATTCGGCCATGAAAAGGAATGAAGTACTGATGTGTGCTGCAACATGGATGGACCTTGAAAACACACTGAGTAAAAGAAGCCAGTCACAAAAGGCCGCATGGTTCTCTTTGCACTAAATATCCAGCATAGACAGATCCATAGAGACGGGCAGATGAGTGGTTGCCAAGGCTGGGGATAGGGTGGCGGGGTACGAATAGGTGTGGCTGCTAAGCGTAGTTCTTTCCCAGGAGCTGGAAGTGTTCTGGAATTAGGTAGCGGTGAAGACTGCACAACTCTGTGAATACACTGTACTCAAAACCACTGAATTACACAGTTTAAAAGGGTGGATTCTGTGGTATGTAAATTTTATCTCAGCTGTTTAAAAAAAAAAGGACAAACCAAACACATCCATAATGTGTTTAGCCATGCAAGTTAATAGAATATAGACAGTGCCCCAGAAGCCACCCCATCCCTTTCCCAGTCAATACCCCAGGTTATTCTTGGGGGAAAAAATAGCAGCTGTTTCTACTGCTGCTGTTTGCTTCTCAGAAGAAGCTGTTATTCTAGACTAGGCATGAAGCTCTCTGCTCTCAGCACTTGGCCAGGCCTAGCGGGGAACTTTTTGTAAAGTACCACTTTAATCTAATGCTTCTTAGTGTGATTTCACGGTGCCAGCGTACCTTTCAAAACAGGTGGCTATGTACGTACTCTTGCTCTTTCTTTTTTTTTATAGAAATAATGAGTTTAAAGTTTTTAAAGAATTCTTTGACATAACTTTTTTTTTAAATACCGTAAATACTATCAGTCTGATCTCTGTCAGTAGTTTGGATTTTTTTTTAACTGTTAAATACTTTTTATTCTAATTTAAATATTTCTTTCTTGAATACTTCTGCCCAATCATCGCCATTCATTCCCCCTGCCACACTCACTAGAGGTAGGGGTTATTAAAACTTTCTCTCAGGAGAGCCAGATTAGCATTAGTAGTTATTCTATTCTACATACCATTTCTGATCTTAAATTTTAAAAGAAACTACCCCTAAATCTTTCTCTATGCTCTGAAATATTTTAAACCCAAAGTAAGGTCACTTTTGATTTTTTGCTTTCCAGCGATGTTTTGGCATTGCCCATTTTCAAGCAGGAAGATTCCAGCCTTCCATTGGATGATGAAACTAAACACCCGCCCTTTCAGTACGTGATGTGCGCAGCAACGTCACCGGCAGTCAAGCTGCACGATGAAACGCTCACTTACTTGAACCAAGGTTAGTATGGCTGTGTCATATTTTGATGTAAGGATTTTAAGAATTCGAAATAATATTTTGGCATTGCAGCCTGATGAATGGTAATAACTTAAAGTTAGATTCTTTTTCTTAAATTTTACAACTTTAGTTAACAAAAATTGTAGGAATTTTACAGTGAGCCAACAAAACAATATTTGGTGGAAACTGATTTGCATAGAGGGTCTGTGGAACAAGATTTATTCCAGTTTTTTTTTTTTTTAAAGACAAAATCCAAAGAAGGAGCAAGTAGAAAAGGATGTCAGTTATTTTTAGGAACTTGAGGATGAATCAGAAGTCCAGCTAGCAAGAAACCTGGTCTCAGGCATGAAGCAGATTTGTGCTGAGAATAGACATAAGCTTCCCAAGGTGGAATCAGTGGCTAAAATAAACCGTGTCAAATTTTGTCTACACTTAATAAGAATACTATGTTTTGGTGATACGAAAGCGAGAGTGAGCAGAATGGAAAATAGAGTTGGGGGGCCGGTAGGATTTACTGTTGGAGAGAATGAAGGGGTTTTTTTGGAGGTGCTCTCAGCAGTTTGGGCACTGGCCAATGTGACTTATCAATGTAAACAAATGTATTTAGCTATGCAGGAATTAATTTGTTGGATACCTATACTGAAAGCATGTTGAACTCTTATTTTTAAAATGAATTCAGCATGTTTATTGTTATAAAAATAGTACATACTCATTATAGGAAAATTGGGGGAATGCATCAAGGGATAAAACTGAAAATGGATTGCAGTCGCACTCCCCCCGAGGATAACTGATTAACGACCTAGGTGTGTTTCCTTGTGTGTGTATCTATTTTATTTCAACAAAATGGGAATTAACATCTGTTCACTTATGAGTTCGTTGTGATTATATTTCTGTCCTTAAATAGAATCTTTAATTCCTCAAACTTTTGGAAAGAGCTATAGATTTTAGACTTCACTAGTGATTATTCTGAAATGAGGAAGAATAACTTTTTTCTGACTTTCCATTTGATAGATAAACTTAAGAGTTTATGAGGTTTTACTTTAATTCTGGTTTGTAGCCTATGGCAATACCCTGATTTTGGTGTTAACATTAATTTAGGAATTGCTTAAGTAGGCATTCAGTTATCTGAAACTTAAGTTTCATATTTGAAAGAAACTTAAGAGTTCATATGGTAATCTGTTTTAGACATAAACATTTCAGAAGAAACAATGTAGAGGCAGTAATATTCACTGTAGCTTTATTTCTAATGACAAGAAAAGGAAATAACCTGAATTTCTTCTACTTAGGGAATAGTTGAATAAGTTGTTACGTGCATACCATGGGACGAACATGCATACACCCTCTGTTTAAAGAACTTTGGATATATCTGTCTGTTGGCCTGGAAAAATATAACTTGTCACTATTATTATTAAATTGGATAAAGACATTTCACATTGATAAAAGTTGCAGTCCACAGTCTATAGTGATAACATATTAGATCTACATTCGCTGAATGCTTCCTGTGTATGAAGCATTGTAGTAAATAGTATACATGTGGTATCTTGTTCAGTTCCCACAATAACCTGAGAAATTTTATAGATTCATTACAGATTTTAAAAACTGAAGCTTAGAGCAGTTGATAAACTTGCTCAATGTCAATTTGGTCAAGCTTAGATTTAAAAAAACATATTGAAATATCTACAGCAGAGTGCGTAATTCTTAAATGTACAGCTCAATGAATCTTTACACAGATCGTTCCCTTGAAAACACTGCCTGTGCCCAGTATTTCCATTACCCTTGCAGGCTCCCTCCTACCCTCCCAAACCGACACTCCAGGTGACTATAATCAGTGTAGTAAGCGCAGGTGATTTTCAAGCACTTGACTCTGCTCACTGCAGTATTAATGAGGAGTATTTTCTTCGTTGTCGAATTGTGTTAATTTACCTCTTAGTTTCTCCTAGTCTTTTAGGAAAAAATCACTGGAAAAGTAAAACTGCATATGTAGGCTACATTTTTTAAAATAAATATTTGAATAATCATTAAAAATGCATTTCAGAAATCATACAGTAATTCTACTTTTATATACCTTTTAAAAAAGAAATAATAATACTTTAAATATAATCCTTACATGTAGATCAAGTAGTTCTTTCACAGGCTTGTCTCCTGGCATTTATCTCTTAGTATTGTATTTTGACAAAAGATTCTGAACCCAAGACTTTTCGTGAATCCCCTACATTGTTTTCAAATTTTTAATAAATGCATACATTTTTAAGAAGAGGATCCATGGCTTTTTCTGGATTCAGGCTAGGTTTGAACCTGATTGAGATGTTCTTTCAGTCTTTCTTTTTTCCCCACCTCTTTCAAACTAATAAAGTAAACAAAGGTCCAGACTTAGCAAAATATCTTAAGTTGATTAGACTCACTTTTCAAAACGAAACATTCTCGATTTAGTGCATATACAGTTTTGATTTTTTACTGAAGCCTTTCCTGAACATAGTGTAAAGAGAATCAGGTGTAGATGTGGAAAATAAAATTCAGGCTCGATTGATTTTTATCTAAGAATTCCAGTAAAAGACCATGAATATATTTTTGACTGGAGTGACATTGCCATGGAAAGTTTCTGCAAAGTGTACCTTGGTGACCCATTTAGTGTAGTAACATCCATGCGTCAACTTTGATAGTATGACTGTTAAATATTGACATAATTTACTCTTTTTAGGAATCAGATTTTTATTCAGATTTGCTCATGAGTTAATTTTTTTATGTTCAAATGAACTCTTCACCTCCATCAAGGGAAAATGACTCATAGTAGCAATGTTGTCTTGTTTATCAAAAAAAAAGATACAAAAACTTTATAAAGAAGGGATTAGATAGGGCACTTGAAGTTGTCCTTCATCAGCACGAATTTTAATTCCTTTTAAATTTCCATATTCATTTTATTAAATGAGAGGGGAATCAAGCATTTTTTTCTCTGTCACTTGGAAATAACAGTGACAATTAATGAAAGCACGATTATCCCCATTTTGTTATATTAAAGCTGTAGCAGGAGTAATTTTTTCTACAATTATTTTTTTTTAGGTTGACCATCTTTTTATGGATAGAGATTCAAACTCAAAGTTTTCAGATTCGAAATCTTGTTTTCTTAACCATAATGTGTCTTTACTAGAATAGTTCCAGTGTTTTCTAAATTTTCAGTTAATTGTCACCATTTAGAATTTAACAGTTTAAATAGATGATATATATACATTGTTCAAAGTTCAAAAGGTATGAAAGGATATACAGTAAAAGCTCTTCTTGCCAAGTGTCTATCAGTCTGCAGGCCTCAGGGAGCCACTGAATTAGAACTCTTTTTAGACACCTGAGAAGATTGTAATCATGTTTTATGATGGCCTTTGTATAATAAAAATACTGTATAGTTAATATTTTATTGAATTTATTCCAATAAACTTACCTGTTCATGTGATGACTGAGTTACATGCCTAAGCATAGTTGTGGTGAATGTAGTGGTCCTGTCACTTAAAGATAAAATTTGAAAGAGAACTTCCATCCCTAAAGTGATGCTTGGTAGAAGCTTGCATCTCTAGTTGCCAGTGAAACAGAGCTGCCCGGGATGTCTTGCACCTCTGCTGCCTGTGGGATGTCCTGTTCCTTTTAAATGATTCAACTACAGTGACTGGTTACTTATGTGTGTTTTTCGGTGTGTAGTGGGGTGTGAGAGGTAGAGGGCAGCAGGGAGCACTGGGTACCTGCAGTCTCTGGAGCCAGGCTGCCTGCATTTAGATCCCCTTCCACCGCTTGCTACTCTAGGCAAGCTCCTTAATTTAATACCCCCCACCTAAAGTAGTTGAGAATTAAATTGAGTTAATTCTGTGTGATGTGCCCAGAAGGTGGCCAGCACACAGGAAGCACAGCACCAGCCTCTGCTGCCGTTACTGTTGTTTATAACTAAGCAGCTTTAGTGATCTCTGACTGCACTGGAAGGCCAAGTAATGAGACCTTGGCTGGCGTGTTGGTTTCCTTTTGCAGTTAGTTGAGTGGTTTTTACTCATGGTTAGAATTCAACCCCAGGACTGTGTAATGATCAGGGGTTTTGCCAGGTTTGTTGGCAAGTATGATGACAAATTTTTAAATGAGCCTAAAGCAGTTTTGAACTGTAGAAATAGGATGTGTGCAGCTGTGGCAGGCAGAGTAATGGTGCCCCAAAGATGTCCACATCTAATCCCCAGAACCTGTGAATATTTTACCTTATATAGCAAAAGGCACATTGCAGGTGTGATTCAGTTAAGGCAATGGAGTGATTATCCATGTGGGCCCAGTGAAATCCTTATAAGTGAAAGAGGGTGGCAGAAGCACCAGGAGTCAGGGAGATGTGAAGATGCTCTATGCGACTGGCTTACTTCACTTAGAATGACGTTCTCCAGGGCCATCCATGTTGCTACAAATGGCATTATTTTATTCTTTTTGATGGCTGAGTAGTATTCCATTGTATAAATATACCACAGCTTCTTTATCCAGTCATCTGTCAGTGGACATTTAGATTGTTTCCATGTCTTGGCTATTGTATATAGTGCTACTGTGAACATTGGGTGCATGTGTCTTTTTGAATTAAGGTTCCCTCTGGATATATGCCCAGGAGTGGGATGGCTGGATCATATATATAGTAAGTCTATTTTTAGCCTTTTGAGGAATCTCCATACTGTTTTCCAAAATGGCTGCACGAAACTACATTCCCACCAGCAGTGTAGGAGGGTTCCCTTTTCTCCACAGCCTCTCCAGCATTTATCATTTGTGGACTTTTGAATGATAAGCCATTCTGACTGGTGTGAGCTGATACTTCATTGTACTTTTGATTTGCATTTCTCTGCTAATTAGTGATACTGAGCATTTTTTTCATGTGCCTATTGGCCATTTGTATGTCTTCATTGGAGAGTTGCTTGTTTAGGTCTTCTGCTCATTTTTGGATTAGATTTTTTTTTTAAGTTGTATGAGCTGTTTATATATTCTGGAAATTAAACCCTTGTCAGTCACATCATTTGCAAATATTTTCTTCCATTCTATAGGTTCTTTTTGTTTTGCTTATGGTTTCCTTTGCTGTGCAAAAGCTTATAAGTTTAATTAGGTCCCATTTGTTAATTTTTGTTTTTATTTCTGTTGCTTGGGTAGACTGCCCTAGGAGAACATTGCTGAGATTTATGTCAGAGAATGTTTTGTCTATGTTTTCTTCTAAGAGGTTTATAGTGTCTTGTCTTATATTTAAGTCTTTCTAGCTTCTCTTTAAAGGCCCAGTCAAAGCTAGGTCTTGAATGGGCATCTAATGAACCCTGAGCCTGTGTGTGTGTGTGTGTGTGTGCACGTATGTGTGTGTTAAAAATGTGCCCATATATGTATATTCAAATGTATGGCTTGCATATACATGTGTGATGAATATATGTGAACATAATGGATTTGTGGTGCATGTGTATGTATGGGAGCAAGAGCTATCCTAGACCCATGCAAGATTTACAGTCTTATTAAATAAGTGAATGACAATTTAATGAATTTTGGTTACTTGGAAATGAAGCATAATGTAATTTACTTTAAACAGCTTTAGATCGACTTAGTGCTTAATTTTAACATAGACAAGTAATTAGAACTGAAAAAGACTTTTGAAATCTTATTGCACAGTGGCTCATATGACATTGTATTAAACAAACCCTGTGCAGAATGAGGCAAATGTATAATCCACTGTTCCAAACCAGGCCACTTCTCCTCTGGATAGAGCACTCTGGGAGAGTGTTTATCATACCATCTCTTGTAGTATTTGTTCAGCTGCTGAGAAAAGATGATTAATTTTTATCATTTTACTTAGAGCTTTTTGAGTATAAAATTATTCCCAGGAGAAGGTCCTGAATGTATTTTGTTAGAAAAAGTATAGACTGACTGGAAATGTCTGCTTTAACACAAAGCAATGGTTCTGCAACTTCATTGTGCATCAGGGCACCGAGAGGGCTTGTCAGCGTGTGATTGACAGCAGTTCTGATTCAGTAGGTCTGCAGTGGGGCCAGAGATTTTGCATTTCTGACAAGTTTGCAAGTGATGCTGATGCTGCTGGTCTGGAGCCCAGGCTTCCACTTTATATGATTTTGAATATCCAGGCAAATATGTGAGCCCCCCTCACTGCCACTTCTTACAGATGGATTTCCTCAAAGGAGGGTTGGCACATAGGTGGGGCTGTAGCCATTACTTGGCCGTAGTTTGGTCACTCTTAGTACTCTCCCCTTGAAGCTTATTGCTTACCTACCTCTGCCTCTTGGGCAGCTATTGTTGAAGAATATTTGCCATTCTGTAAAACCATAAAGAAAAAAAAGTAAATTCTATGTAGTCTTAACTTCATCAGTCAGGTAGAAATTGGAACAAGTTTTCCAAGTTGTATTGATGCCTTAGAATGTCAGTGTTTGTACAATTTTGAACACTAGAAGTACAGAGTCTAAAAACTGTATTTGTGGTTTCCTGGGTGTGCCTGGACAGCTGTCCTCTTCTGCTCTTAGGTAGTAGGAAGACTTAGGTCTTTGACTTTGTGGAGTAAAAACCTGTAGTCCTGACATGGAGCCACAAGAGGGCATCATGAGCAGCTGGCTCTCTCCTTGAGCGGGGATCTGGCTGGAACAGGCTGCCCCTTGACCTGCAACCCCAGGTGAATCTCTGATGTTTCACCACCTCATGATTTGAGTGACCCTTCTGATCTTAAACCCTTGACTTATTCCAGATCAGCTTATTGCTGCTGTTGGATCAGAAATAGCTGTTCTGTTTGGAGACTTTTTTTTTTGTTAATGAAGCAGTATCAGTTACTTGGCAAACAGGTTTTAGATCCTAGGAAATAGCATGTCTGTAGGATTAAAAATACTGTTAACTGATTGAAGGTTTAAAAAGGAAACATACCTTTTGTTAAAAAATAGGAAAGACTGACACATGCTACAACAAGGATGAATCTTGAAAGCATTATAAGTGAAAATGCCAGTCACAAAAGGCCACCTGTTGTGTGATTCCATTTATATCAGGTGTCCAAGGCAGGCAGATCCCCAGAGACAGGAAGTAGGTTGATGAAGGGGCGGGGGTAGGAGAATGAGAAGGGAAGGGACTGCTCACAGGTGTGAGTTCTCTTTTTTGGGATGAAGATGCTCTAAAATTGATAGCAGTGATGGCTGCACAACTCTGCACATACTAGAAACCAATTAATTGTGTGCTTTAAAAGGATGAATTTTATGGCCTGTAAGTTATCTCTGAATCAAGGTATTATGAAAAACGTGTTGGATAATGCGTGTATGTGTAATAACACTAGTGTGAGAGTAACAGAGGAAGGTAGACTGGTGAACTCTTCAGGCTTCTGTGCTGGTGGAAGAGGGAAGGATGCAGTCTGCAGGGAAGAGGAAGATCAGTCTGGACTTGTTTCTCTAAAATTGACATTGACTTGTATGTTTGAGAGGCAGTTGAATTTTTGTTACACAGAGTGATGTTCTTTATACGGATTGTTCTTGATACACAATTTTTAAAAATAGGTCAATCTTATGAAATTCGGATGCTGGATAATCGGAAAATGGGAGATGTGCCTGAGATCACTGGAAAGTTGGTAAAGGTAAGGACGATCCATTTAACTTCCTAGTAGCTATTGCAGTGATTCAAAAACATAGCAGTTTTGCCACGGGAATTGTGGGTTTTGTTGCAGGAGTTATTAAAAAATTATTTAACTTCACTTTGGTACAGGTGAGGAAGATGGGTGTGGTTCGGAGCAGCGCCTGTGCCCATGTAGACATCCACACAGGTCCCCACGGCCGACCTGGCCTCTTCTTTAACTGTTTTAGATCAGAATATTGCTGCTTTTAAGTGGTTCCCTTCAAAATGTTTATCAGCTATGTTCTGAACAGCATTTGGAGGGTGGGGAAGGCAGGGGCCTCTATTTTTATTTATTGCTAACAAGTTGTTTCCTGTTCAAACCAGCAGAGTCTACTGGAAATAGAATTCTTATTGAATCATAGTCTGAGAAACAGTTATTTATAAATGTGTCAGAAACACTAATGAGTGCAAATCTAGTATCTGAATCCATGCTGATGACCTGTTACCCTGTTGCTGGAATGAAACAGTAGTTGGCAGCCCAGCCTGTGGGAGGTGAGGGAGGGATGAATGGAGAACAGAGCACTGGTGTAGAGTTTGTGCAGTAGAGTTAAAGCCTCCCCTAGGAACCTGCATGTCTGGATGAAGTTTACCTGTTTTTTCTGTTTTGTTTTATCCCTTGCTTACCTCAGATAACCTCACTGTTAGGTTAAATAGTTGAGGATGAATTTTGCATATAGGTTCTCTTTTTGGTGTGGTGGGCAGGTAACCCCTCCCCCTGCCAGCCCTTGACTATCTTTTTAAAGAAACAATTTTTTGTTTGGTTTGGTTTGGTTGTTTGTTCTTGTTTTTGGAGAGGGAAGGTAATTAGGTTTATTTATTTGATGGAGGTACTGGAGATTGAACCCAGGACCTCATGCCTGCTAAGCACGCTCTCTACCACTGAGCTCTGCCCTCCCCCCAATTATTATTGTTTTAAATGAACAGTTTTACCATTGTTCCTGGGGTTCTGTCTCTGTTTTGACCACCTTTTCATTTTAGTGATTTCTGTGTGCGTCTGATGTTTTCTTTATAGAAATACAGTTCTTACTACTTTTTTAGGACATGTACCTTAATTTTGAATTATAATATTAAATTATTTAATAAAAATTTTCCCTAAGAAACCGTTTTATTTGCTTTTATTATTTTTGAGTTATAATTCTTTGCATCAAATAATGGTACCCATAACCCAGGTATCCAAGAGCAAAACCGTTCACTTACAAAATGTTTAAAGCCAAATTTGGTTTTGTATGCATTTCTATTATGGGCTGATGCATAAGACGTGAAAACGCTTCTGCTTTTTAGCTGGAACAGTTTAAGAGTGTTCCTGTCCCCCCTTCTTCCGTAGAGCATCATTCGAGTTGTCTTCCATGACAGACGGCTGCAGTATACAGAGCATCAGCAGCTGGAAGGTTGGAAGTGGAATCGCCCAGGAGATAGACTTCTCGATTTAGGTACAAGTGGCTGTCAGGAGACCACGGAGGGAGGAAGGCAGTTGTTTAGCTGCACCCGTTAATATGTTGGCACCACGTGTAATTGTGTGGAGAGAGTTTTGGTGTTAGCAGATCCTGTGTGCCTTGAGTTGTTTTATAGATAAAAACAAAGTCGTTTTTTGGTGCTTAACGAACCTGAACCAGGCATTTTCTGAGTTTGAAACCATTTATTTAATCTTTGTTGGCGCCGTCCATCATATTCTTAATAAAATGAAATAGAAACCATGGTGGGAGAAAGTATGATAGACATTAGGTGGGTTTTGCTGTTGAGGTGAAGAACATGGGAGGAAAAAGCTCAGCATGGAAGTACAGTAGTTTCATTAGAACATAATTATAGTGGGTTGTAACCTTTTAATTTTCTTTTTCATAGTTTCTATGTCATTTATTTTTAAAATACAGATATTCCAATGTCTGTGGGAATAATTGACACAAGGACAAATCCAAGCCAGTTAAATGCAGTTGAATTTCTGTGGGATCCTGCAAAGCGCACATCTGCTTTCATTCAGGTTTGGATTTTTACATTATTAGAAGCATACTAGCCTAGTCATTTAGAAGGCCAGGAAGAGACTGAATTCCTGATGCATGACATCGTTTTCCTCAGATGCTTATTTGTCAACTAACTTGTAATGTCTTTTACACACACACAGACACAGACACTGTTGGAGTTAATCTACTAAATTCATCATTTATAGACTAATATATATGAAGACAATCTGATATGTTAAGTATTATTTTTTAAAAAGGTATTATTTAAATATTCCTTTTACCACTGGTAGTAACAATAAACAGAACTTCTATTCTTCTTAAAATGCATTTGTCTTTAAAAGGATATAATTGAAAAAGTGTACAGGTTCGAGATTCTCTCTAGCATTAGTTAAAAATATTTTAATACTGAAATTTTCAAACCCCCACAGAAAAAAAGAGGACAATAATGAATCCTCAGTGTGCCCATCACCTGGCTTCAACATTTACTAATAGTTTCCTTATTCAGTTGTGAATGGAAGAGTTTAGAGCAGCTCCCAGGCATTTTGTTTAACCTAGGAATACTCAGTTTGTGTCTCTTAAGAGAGGAGTTTTTTAAAACGTAAGTATACAAAATCAGCCGTAATTCTAATACTCAGTATGTTCAGATTTGTAAGTGGTGGAAGTAAAACTGAGTAGGTAATCTTTATGTAGAAGAGGAAAACCACTTAATTGCTGACCAGCCTGAGTGGGCTCTGGTTTATGTGAGCTGGGGAGAATCTTTAGTATTTCGCATCTTTCTGGTTGACAAGAAACTCTCCCCCTGTTAGCTAATAATCATTAGGGACATGGTTCACGTTAGCTGAATATTTTCTCATACTGTTCATCTAATAGGGTAGCTGGTTGTGTGGTAAACGAAAGCGATGTAAGAGCTGGCCTTAAATGTCAGGTTGTGCACAGTCTTACTGCAGAGACCACTTCAACTCTGAGTCATGGGAAGAGGGGGTGGGAGGCAATCAGAAGTTCCCAAAGTCTTGTGACTAGCTGTGTGCACAGCCCTAAGGCTGTCATCGCTCTCATGTCAGGAGAGGGGCAGCAGTGGTGGGAAAATGAGTGGTGCCCTCTGGCTTCTCAGCTAACTTGGAAGGGGTGACGGGAGAGTAGAGATGGATACAGGCAGAGTGAGGAGTGCAAAGTTCCCCAGGCGCAGCGTCACAAGTCGGTGAACACCAGGGAGGTGACTGGCCGGCTGGAGTTGGGGTGACAGCAGTAGATGGCAGACAGTGGGAGTTCTGTGTGAGGAGGTGGTGATGGCTGTGGGTCGTGCGGCACACAAGGCTGAAGACTGCGGGTCTGAGAGCAGCTTACAGTCTGGGTTGGGAGATGGACTCCAGAAGCTACTGTGTGATGCACCCGTGATTGGAGCAAGTCCCCCCTCAGAGGCGAGGCATTGGAATGGGCAAGAGCGCATCCCCAGAAAGGTCAGGAAGATTCAGCTGGGTTTGTGAAAGGAAAGCGGTATAAAGAGGCAGTCAGAAACTCGCAACACATATCTGGCTAGTACATGGGGTTTTGTTTTAAAGGAGCTTGAATGTAGACCTGTGGCAGGACACCTGAAAGGGAACAAAGGGAAGGGTGCTTCGAGTCCATTTCAGCTTGAGTTGTCTTCTAGGTCCACTGCATCAGCACAGAGTTCACTCCCCGGAAGCACGGAGGTGAAAAGGGAGTGCCTTTTAGGATCCAGGTTGACACCTTTAAGCAGAATGAAAATGGAGAATACACAGATCACCTACACTCAGCCAGCTGCCAAATCAAAGTTTTTAAGGTAAGGGATGGAACTAGGCTTCCAGTAATTAAGGCCCAGTGTTGCTGGTGGAGTTGCTGGTCCAAAACCTGATAGACAAACCGATCTTCTTTGTCTTTAAGCCTAAAGGTGCAGATAGGAAACAAAAGACGGATCGAGAGAAGATGGAGAAGAGGACTGCTCACGAAAAGGAGAAGTACCAGCCGTCCTATGACACCACGATCCTCACGGAGGTAATGCGGGGCGCCGTCCTGGTCCCGAGGAGAAGCAGAGGTGTGCCTGCCAGCGCTGTCTTTGGGGAGCAGCGCCACTGCAGAGGGGTCTGGGAAGATGGGGTGGTCCATGGATATCATGTTGTCTATGAAGTTTGTGGGGGAAGTATTCTATTTAAATTTGGGGATTGTGATAGATTAGTTCCCTGGGTGGGATCTTGAATGAAGATGCTGAAATCCCAATCAGGTCTCAGAAACAGACCTTAAAAACCTCGAAGTTGGCAAGAGGTTAAGTTGGGGCCTAGAATGTCCGATGTTTGTCACTGCTGGGGTTTTGCATCTTCTTTACCTTTGAATCCAGTTAGTCATACATTTGTTTAATCGGACTGCAGAGACGTAAAACAGGGTATTAGATCTTTCTTTGTATAATGAAAAGACATTGATCCCAATCTTTGGTGTTTGTCCAGATGAGGCTTGAGCCTATAATTGAAGATGCAGTTGAACATGAGCAGAAAAAGTCCAGCAAGCGGACTTTGCCAGCAGACTACGGTGATTCTCTGGCAAAGCGAGGCAGTGTAAGGGCTTCTGCTTCTCTTTTCATTGTGCAAGAAACCTTGTGCAGTGTTAGATATAGGACCAACTTCCACTGAAAAGTAAAGCCAAATTTGTTTTTCATGTCCTTGTCTTGATTTAATTTGCTTTTGTTTAGACTTCCTGCTTTCTGTTCCTCAACTGAGGAAAATTTCCTAAATCTAACACTTTAAAACAAAGTTGACCATATTGGGTGGTTTTGGAGGGAAAAATGACACTCAGAAATGTGTTCCCTCCCTGCCTCCTTCCTTTGCTCCCTCCCTCCCTCTCCTTTGCACACACGCTTCCTTTAACAGCACTGAAATTAATTAAAAATACTTCTTTAGTAAAGTAGTTAATCATTTTTGTATAATTTTAAAAGGTTTTGCTTTCTCGTATGTGTAATGGATAAGAAAATTTCATGGATATTTAGAGAAATGATAGCAGCAAGCTTAGCTTAACATTAACATATGCAATACTTTGTGTCCCATTTTCCTGCATGCAGTGTAAGAATGTGTGTCTGTCTGTGCTTTTCCAAGCCTGTTTGGCAGCACTGGTGGGGAAAAAAGTCTCTGACTGAATCTGTGTTTCCTCTTGGCCCCTGCATTGTGATTGACGCTTCAGGCCAGAATAGTGCACCTCACCACACTCAGCCCTGGTTCCCTGCAGTGTGCAGTCGGGGGAGGGGGAGGGTTGAATATGAGCTTTGTCAGCTTAAGTATATATAGCAAGTCAAGATTTTATGACCCAGCTCTTTGTCGAACAGTCGACAAAGGATTATCCTGTTATATACACTTAGATCAGCTGTGTACCCATGGTAAATGTAAACAGAGAACACAGTATTTTTTTAAAATAACTGTCATCATATGTATTAATGGCTACTCTATTCATCATTGCAGCGTCAGTGCTACCAAGGTGGCAGACGGGGAATTTTCACTGCTCTACATGTATCTGTAGTGATCTATAGACAGAAATCACAAACATTGTCATAGGAGCATTGTTTCCAAATTAAAGCATTGAGTAAAAATATTTTAAATGCTTCTATATGCAGTAAAACTGAAAATATGCTCCTCTGAGTGGAGGGGAGCACACATGTTGCATTTTCTTTAAACTGGGCTTTTTTGATTCAAATCAAAGGTTGTATAGAGCAACTGTATACTTGTTCCCCAATTGCCTACCCCTCCCATTTTATGTTTTTGTTCTCTTCTGATTTCCCAGCTGAAGACCCACTAATGGGTGTTAGTGAACTTTGGTGGGAGACCCTGGTAACGTAAATGTTATAAAATAACTAATTAAAAGGAATGAGTTCTGCTAATTCGTAGATTAAGGAAATCTGTTACAGCCCAGAGCTAATCTGGAGATGTCAGAATTGTTGGTAAATTATTAATGATTCTTAAGTCTAAAGTATGCAAAACATCAGCAGTTCACTGGCCTGGGATTTCACATCTTCCTGGTGTGCTTTGCTTGCTGCCCTGGGCTGCGATCAGAAGATACTTCTAGGGGTGGGTAGAGTTCTTGGAAACCTGTTCATTAAAAGCAAGATACAGATTAATCCCTTAAAAAAAGAAAGTCCGCAAGATTCTATGTTTTTCTTTGAGTGCCTACAAAAGAAGGCCAACATTTCTTACAGTTCTCGGCTAGTTAGAGTTGGCTCTCAGCAGAAAGGGGTATCCAGACTTACTGGTTTGAGTTAAGAGGTGCTGTGTGAAATGGTCCAGCACTGAAGAGAGGCTCTACCGTAGGGCCCTGAGAGCCCTGGCACAGCCACACCCTTAGTGTCTCTGTTGGTCTTTGCATCTGAGCTGTGTTTTGTTGGCTCAAATCCAGACTGCCGATCTCTACAGTCTGCAGTGGGTCATCATTTTCTAATCTGCCTGGGGAGGGACTTTGTTCACAGTGACCAAAACCATGACTCTATGAGTCCAGGCCAGGTATTGCTGGAGCCTTAGTCACAGACTGTCTTCAGGAACACAGGCACTGCACAGCTGCTTACTTCTAAAGACAGGGAGGAATGACAAGGTAGAAGAAACATGATGAAAATATTCCTTAGTATGCCTTTACCCTCCTGGGTTGACACTGCAAGAGAAACCTACGAAAGACACAGGCCAGGAGGGTCTTGGTGTTTCATCTGGCCTGGCCACTTAAGAACTTGGAATCCACTGTTTTCTGCAAGTGGAGGCCGCCCAGTGGGACCAGTTTTCATGAACACTAGTTTTTTAGTGTTCAGTGAATCGAGCCTCCCTTTTATTGGGCAGGTTTTAGATATCAGTTATTAACAGCCTTACTTTTCTGCTGCTAGAGGTGTCCAGATGTGGAAAAGTGAAATAGTTTCAGTAACTTCGGTATCTTTGCCAAGTTACTGGCCACGCTCACTTGGAGCTTTTGATGGCTTCATTTTTTTAAACAGCTGGCAGTAATTACAAAGCAGATTTGGGGAGACGTGATATTGAAAGGCTTTATGTTGTTTAGATGGGCGTGTTGTGCTGTGTTGTAATATTTTGTATCTGGGGAGAATGGTGTAGCAGGAAAGTCTTGGAAGTAGTGGAGGTGAACTGTGAGCGTGCTACCCTGTAGGTTGTGAGACCTGCCGGTCGGCTCCCAAGGTCTTAGGCTCCTTAAACTGTATAAAGTGCGGGGAGGTGCTGCTTTGGAAGCTGGAAAGAGAAAGAGGCCCTAGTTTAAAAGAACGGGCATTGTGTAAGATGTCATTTATAGTGAAATTGGTGTGACGTGCAGCGGGTTTGGCAGCGCATTCCAGCCAGGTTAGATCTCTTTTGTGGTGATAGCTGAAACGTTCAGTCTGCAGTCATTTTCCGCATTTTTGACGGGATACCTAATGGGTAGTTGTAAAGAAGGTTAAGATTGTGACATTTCCTGCACCTGTGCTTCTGATGGGGGGTCAGACACGTTGTTTGAAGCTCCTGTAACCATTGGAGATACTTGGTTACTGCCCTCAGAGTGCTTCACGCTGGTGGTCTGGGCACTTCACTCAAAAGAATTTTGAAAGAGAAAATATTCCCTTGCACATTTTTAGGATGACACTGAAAGTTTTCACCATAAATTTAAATAGTTGAAAGGCAACAATTTTCTGACATAGTGAATGTTTATATTTACAATTTAAGATGAAACTGTCACATTGCCTTTTGAAACGTGTCCTGTGGAATCTAAACGCCAGGGCAGTTTGACACCTACTGTTGGTCATTTTCAAATGTCCATGGTTAAGTCTGCAATTTTACTCTGCTCTTCCTTCTTTGTTTTATTATTTTTTTAAATTGAAGAATAGTTGATTTACAGTGTTATGTTAGTTTCTGGTGTACAGCACAGTGATTCAGTTACACACACATAAGTCTACATATATATTCTTTTTCATATTCTTTTTCATTACAGGGAATTACAAGATACTGAATATAGTTCCCTGTGCTCTACGGTAGACCTGCTCTTCCTTCCTGGTCTCATGTTTTCTCTTTAACTCCCCTTAAATAATTTTGTCCTAATAGGACATACTTTTATGCCTGGAAATCTTCTAATGATGACCCTGATAACTTTTTTACAACAAACTGTCATAAATTGAAATTTAATTTTTTAAATTTCCTGTGACCATAAGGCTTAAGTCAGTTGAGGAATTTAAAACTTATTATTTGTACCAATTTATCAAATCATACAAATTTTGATTGTTAAGTATAAAAATAGAAATGTTATTGGAAATACATCTTAAATGATGAGACGGGTGGAACATATCTAGTTTTGTTTATAGATAAGAGATGTATTTCTTTTTCTTTCAGCAGTGTCATTCAGGTCTTGGAACTCCCTCTGAGATAGCTGTCCAATAATCTATTTTTGTATGATCTAGTAGATTATTTCAATGTCGGTCAACTGACAAGATGTCCTGAATTTTTTTGAGGGCAAAGAATTGAAAACCTGACATACAGAAGAATGTTTTAGAGACCTGTATTTTCTTAGCATTTATCCTCTTCTTTGAATGGTCTTTTGCTTGGTTTTTGGTGCAGTCTCCCACCCTATGGCCACGGTGAGAGATGAGGCCATTTTTGTGTGAATTGGGAGAAGAGTGATTATGAAGGGGGACCCTTGAAATCCAGGGTGTGCCCAGGTTTAGGAAGAATACCCGTGGAGAGACGTGGAGAGGCCCTCCACCCTTAGCACTGGCCGCCGCCCTGGCCCGCTCAGCATCTCACTGACTGCAGCTTTTCCAGTGCTCCTGAGTGTAATTGTTAGTGTGTCTTTGCTCTGTTTTTGGTCAGAGTTGTGCCAAGGGCTGAAAAACATTTAAGTTCACCCTGCCCCTTCCAGAATATGCAAATAATAGATGTAAGTAAACAGATGGGTGGAGGCAGTACCATCCCCAGTTGCTGTATTTGGATGTTGGCCTGACTCGTCCTGCGCGGGGCTGAGGCAGTACGTGGGCCCTGGTGAGGCTGCGCCGTGGGGAGGAGGGCGAAGAGAGCGCTAGGTGGGACAGGGCCGCTGTCCTCGTCACCCTGCCGTGTCCGATGTTGCTGCTCAACCCTTCCTTGCCTCTCCTGTTCTTCAAACCTTGATAGGTACCTACTGGGGAGTTGATGAAGAGGGAGGAGGAAGGTACTTGAAAGCAAACTGTACTTAAGTGCGCTTAAGACGCCTTTGTCAGTGTCTGCTGCTGTCGTCACATCAGGTCTCCCCTAGGATTAGTCAGTGTGTGGACGCAGACAGCGGGTAGCGTTTTCCCTGCCACACAGAAGTAAAATCGGTGTGTTTCTGTGAGGTTGCCTGATGAATGTTAGGTGTCTTATGTTTTATAACCTTACACATGGCCAGACTAGAGAGTGGATTACAAGAATATTTCTTCCACATGCTTTAGAAGAGTATCATTAATTTCCCTTTGTTTCTGTCCTTAGTGCTCCCCGTGGCCCGATACCCCCACGGCCTACGTGAACAGCAGTCCCTCCTCGGCGCCCACCTTCCCGCCCCCGCAGCAGAGCACTTGCAGTGTCCCGGACAGGTATCTGGTGTGCGTGCCGTGTGCCTGGGGCCCACCCCCCTTTCTCTGGAGTTGCGGCAGCCTCCCCCTTTGTGTGTGTGGAGCCCATGGGCACTGGAAATAGCCTGTACCTCACTCAGTTTCAGAGGCAAATCGTCATTTCTTCACCCACCAGCCTCTTTGCTCGTAGCCCCTCGTACCTCACATATCGACAGCTGTGGAAATGTGGAAAAGGGAGCATTTTCAAAAGAGACTTTTTGTGAGGTGAAAATAACATAATGGGGTTCATGCATAGGATGGTGAGGTTTAAGGGAAACTGTGACTTGAATGCATTCCGGTTGCGTTTAGTGGAGCACACGCTTGTCGCGAATGCCCACTGTGTCAGACCAGGAGTATCTTGCCTTGCTCTCACTTTCATTTCCCCTGGAAACACAAGGCAGTGGTACAGATTTGTTTCTTTTGTTCTCTCGACCTTCGCCTTCTTTAATCATGGATGAATGTATTCATTAAAGGGGTATTATTCTCTGTTTTGACTTAGGATCATTAGATTATTTCTTGCAGCTCATTATTAAAGTAGGTTTCTTTGCAGTTATTTTCAACTGTTTATTTTAGTTGATTCCCATTTTTTTTTTCTAACTAAAATGAAGGCGTCATTCATTTTCCTGGCACCCCTGGAGATAACTGGAGTCCTTTTGTTTCACAAAACTTGAATTTCTTACCAGAACAGACAGAGAAGGCGGCACAAATTAAACCGTTTTCTGTGTCTTAACCTATCATCATGTTCACTCCTTGACCAGCTGTGCAGACGTTCTGTGCGCACTTGCATTGCTCTGTCCCACAGTACTGTTTTAAAGTCACCTGCTTTAATAGCCTTTAATGTCTTGAATAAAAAATATATAATAATCATCCATCCTTTCCTTCCTCCCTTCCTTCTCCCCAGCAATTCTTCTTCCCCGAATCATCAGGGAGATGGAGTTTCACAGGCCTCTAGTGAAGTAAGTATCGTTTCCCTAACAGTCATGCTTTCAGGGCCCTGCATTTTGAGGCCTCTGCCAGGGGTTTGAGCCAATGCTTGGGTCACTGAACAGTCCCACCTGTGCTCTTCTTGGGTGTTTAAATGTTCTTCTTTGTAACCTGCCGGTTACTTTTTTTTGTAAGCTTGAATAGCTGCTTCCGTTTATGCTCATTTTCTTTGTTGATAGCAACTTCAGCCTTCAGCCACAATCCAGGAAACACAACAATGGCTACTCAAAAACAGATTCTCTTCCTACACAAGACTGTTTTCCAATTTTTTAGGTAAGTTTGTGCGTGCGTATGCATGCACACACACACACATCGTTTACTTACTTCTATACTTTCATTAGTCTTTTAATTAAATTTTTGGGAAGTAATCGTACAGTAAGTAAGTAATTTGGGAAGTAAGTATAGGAAGTAATTTGTAAGAAGTTGCCCAGACATGTACAGGGAAGTCCTGTGTACCTGTTAACGCTGTTTTTCCACAGTGGTAACGCCTTGCAGCCCCCTTATATAACATCAAAACAGGAAATAGATACTGTCACCAGTTTTAGCTGCCCTCATTTTTTATAGGTGTGTACAGTTACATGCAGTATTTTTCATTTTATGAACTTTAATTTGAAATAATGTTTACTTTCTAGTGAGTTACAAAGTGTAGCACACATAGTGCAGTGTATGTATATAGTTCCGTGTTGGGTGTAGAGATGACTACCACCGAAGGTGCAGCATCTCGCCTGCACACAGGGAGGTGCCTTCTGCTACCCACACCCCTCCCCGACCATCCCTCACCCCCGGCACCTGTTAATCTACTTTTTGTTTCAATGGCCGTGTCATTTTGAGAATGTTACGTAAATGGAGTCGTTCAGTATGTTTTCCCACTCAGCATAATGCCCTCGCATCCATCCAAGATGTGTCCTTAGGTTGTTCCTCTTTATTGCTGTGTAGTGTTACAGGCTGTGAGTGAACTCAGGAATGATTTTCATAGACTTACGTGTAAGTGTTTTCTTGAAGAGTAAGGGAGTATTTAGATGGAACTTTAAAAGGGATCAAGCAGTGCTGCTTCAGGTGGGCTGTCGGAGGCCTGTCTAGCGGGACAGTAATAGATTTGCCAGCTGGGGTGGGGCCAGCATTCCCCAGACGTTTTTGGCCCTGGGACCCTTTTCCTGCAGAACGCTTAGTCACATGTCCTGGCCAGATGCATCCTGCCAGACGCGGCTTGAGCCTTTTAGGAGGACAGAACGGGTGCAGACACCCGGCCTGGAGGAAAGCCTGCTTCACAAAGAACGTGGTTTTCTATTACGTCAGCCCTTTACTGCCCCTCTTGTGCAGTGATTAGTCATTCCCCAAATAGTTCTTTGTCTCTTTAAAATTAAAGTACTGGATGAAAGTCATTTGCTAGCTGGGATCCACATTTTTATGATTAAGTAAAGCCTTTTATCTGTTAAACAAAAAAGTAACTTAAAAATGTCAGTGCAGTGGTGGGGACACGCAGGCTGCTCCTAGGGGAGATATGAAGAGTGAAGCGCGCACAGAAGGCTGTGACGTCCTGCTTGCTGCTGTCACGCGGGCCCGCGTTTCAGTTCTGAGCACTTTTCGCTGTGAGCAGTGACCAGTGTGCTTGGCCTCCTGCCTCTCCTTGCCACGTGAGCTTCCAACAGCAGGGGGGCAGGGAGAAGAGGGGGGGCTTCTCGCCCTGGGCCTCTCCTCCGGCAGTCTTGTTTCAGAGGGGGCTGTGCGCACACACCTCTGCTCACCCCGGGGAGTGTGGAAGGGCGTGTGGAAGGAAGGTCCCGGTACAGATGAGGCAGCCTGTCTTTGCCTACCTGACTCCATCAGTCAGCTCCCTCAGTGCTCCTGCCTCGTGGGAAATGTGCTTCTCTGGCCTTTGTTTCTTTTACAAACTGGAAAATTATTGGGCTTTCACATTCAGGCCCTCAAAAATATACAACTCCAGTATCCTGTGACATATATGTAAGTGGGTATTTATCACATGGAAGTCCTGCTTTAATCCCAGAGGGCATCGTAATTCTCCCAATAAACTACGTCTTGAGAGTCAAGAAAAGAGAAGAACAAAAGATTGTGGACACACTCAGACAAAACAGAGAAGAGTATGATGAACCGGTGTGTAACCATTCCCAGCTTCCAGGAGTCTCACTGTCTCCACTCCCTCCCCCCTTTTCTGTTCTGTTTTAGAGCAGATCCTAGATACCATGTCATTAACACTTACCAAGTATTTAAGGGAGAAATCTTAAGTATAGTATGCAATTCTCTGCCATGCTTTAGTATTAAAACTGCACGTGGTGACAGAGTTGTTAGGTTACAGAATGTTCAGCTGTACATAGTCTGCTGGGATAGAAAAGGCCTGGTCCTAGCTCTGCTGCCACCTTGTGTGACTTTCGGTGAGTCCACAAAACTCTGACTTCCATTTCCAGTTTTTGTAAAATTAAAGATTGGTCTGGGCCACCTCAAGGTGAGTTATCTGGGGTCAGAATCACGTTTATCTGCACAATCACAGCCCAGCCCGAGGCAGGCAGGCAGTGGAATGCTGTGTTGGGGACAGCAGTCCTGTCGGCCCTGCTCCTTGCTGATTCACCAGCCTCTGGGCTTCTGAGCTCCTCAGTACAGGACACGGAGGGCCCCCTTTCTCTTGGCTCCGGGGGATGGGGCTGTGTGTGTGCACGTGAGTGATGGTTTCAAAGGACATTAATCTGTGTGAAGACAGGTGCTGTGTGAAGACAGCTAGTCCTGCTGGTTCTTTTCCCATTTGCTTAAGAAGAATCTCTTTTTGCTGTTCTCCAGGTGCCGACTTACTAAAACTGACAAAGGAGGATCTAGTACAAATTTGTGGTGCAGCCGATGGAATTCGGCTCTATAATTCACTGAAGTCAAGGTAAAATACTGTGTTTAAACAGAACTGTTCTGCTTGAAATAAGAATGCACCCTTCTTGGCGTGGGGACCGCGGGCAGGATGTGTTCCCACGCTGGGTTGGCGTGTGCCTGTGCACTGCCGGGCGCGGGCGCGTCGTGCTCACGAGAAGACTGTTTTGTGTACACCTTCAGGCAGGCCCAGATATGATGCAGGCACTGATGAGGGCAGAGGTAGACTGTAAGACTGGTAGAAATGCACATGGGCAGTACTGAGTTCTTGAAGACGGCTGGGTTTGTTGCCAAGAAAGCAAACTTCTCATTTAGGTGAGCTATTACAGAATCTCTGGTTTTCAAGGTTATGTGACACTACTAAACAGTTACTTAAAATGTAAACTTCTAATTGTAAATGAAAATGATAGAACTGTAAACTGTGCTGGCTTTTAAGATCCATTTACTATCGTTGATATCTCTAGACTTGTGTGAGAATTCCATTGAGATTGAATCTTACTGATTTTAAATTGCTGACTTAATCTTGAAACTTAGATTTACCAGCATCTGACAGACCACCTCAGTGGTTTAGAGTCTGGATCATCAGATTAGACCACCTGTGCTAGTTGGTGCGAGGTGTGTGTTTTTATATTTTTACTAGTACATAAATTTGCGTAACCAAGTAACCGTGTAAAGTTGTCAAAAGGGACTAGAACTAGCTGCCTGTAGTGTCACTGCGCATGCGCGGGGCGCGGGCGGCCTGGCTCACGCGCGCCCTCTTCTGGTTGCAGGTCGGTCAGGCCGCGCCTGACCCTCTATGTCTGCAGGGAGCAGCCAGGCGGTGCTGTGCCGCAGGGGCAGCCGCAGGCGGCGGGCAGCGGGGGCGACAGCTGTGGTGCCACACCCTACGGTAGGTATGCGGGGCCCTCGGCTCCCCGTCGCTGCCCTTATGAGCGGGGCTTCGTGGGACCCCTGTCACAGGACGGTCGAGGCAGGGCCCTCGGCAGGAGAGGGCACCACACCGGCGGCTTTTCTCAGCTATTTCGGCTGCACCGTGGATCTCCTCCTCTGTGGTCCTTGATGCCAGCGATACCTAATGGGACAGACTAGCTTCAGTGCTTTGGGGGTGTTGCTAGCTTTTGGGGGGTAAACCTCAGATTTACTGAAATGATGAATACAATATTGGTAGCTTGGGAAGAAAGCAGGGGAAGGGGGTTTCTTTTGTTTTCATTTTTCTGGCTTGGGTAAAAATTTAAAATACCATGTGTGCAAAGGTGCACGTATGTAATGGTGTTGGGGGTGTGGACTTGCCTTGGACAAGCGTCTGGCCGGAACTATGAGCTGTGGGGTGAGTCTGGTGCTGTGTCCGGTGGACTGCCACATCATCCATCTGAGTACTGGGAGGCCCTCTTCCTGCGGGTTTGCTTTCTTTGGGTAATAGAGCGCTGGATGAGGGCAGGGGTAAAAATGTTCACCCCTTCCCTTCTCCAAATATGGTCCTTAAAAAACCAAGCTTTTTTTTTAAAAGCAGGTGTTTTATCGTTTGTAAGGTGGGTATGTGGTAACATCTCCCCTCTTCCCACACTCTGAAACAAAAATAAGGGAACACACTCAGAACTTTTCAGAGAAAAATGTGTTACGGAATTGAGAGAGGCAGTTATTTGCCCTAATAATAGGTAGAGCTCTGAAAAATACTGTGTGGTTTGAATTTGACTGAAAAACCCCACGAAAAGCATCACTGTTGTGAGCTTTTTAATTTGGTGTCATTTTGACTTCAAAAACTGAATTTTAAGGCTAGAGATATGAAGCCTTAGTCTTTAAGGACAAAAATTCTAAAGGATCGCTCCAGGTATCATCACGATCTTCAGCATTTACATACAGTCAGGTGTGTCCTCAAACACCAGTGTCTGTGGAAATCCTGCCACAGTTAACCCTAGATCAAGGCTGAAAACCTTTTCTGTGAAAGACCACATAGTAAGTATGTGGACTGCAGACTGTAGGGCCTCTTTCTCACTTATCTCTGCCGTCACAGTGCCCAGATGATGGGTGTTGCCGTGTTCTGATAAAAAACTTTTTTTAAAGAACAGGTGTAGGGCAGAGATTGGCCACCTCTGCTCCAGGGCCTCTCTAGAGTCTTACTTTAACTGTGGTTCCAAATTCTGAGCAAAGGTTTTTATACTCATAAACACAAACACAAGGAAAAATCCTGGTTTAGGGGAAGCCAAGTAAAAGCACTGATGTTTCTGATCAGTGTTTGGCTTGAGCGGGACCTGTTCAGGCCCACGGGACCGGGGCGACGGTGGCTGGGCTCTGTGCAGAGGAGCAGCAGGCCTCGTCGTCCACACCTTAGCCTTCTCTTGTGCTTTCACAGTTTTTAATTCTTTGTGAGAAAGGGGGGTGAGGAGTGGGTAGCTTTTATTCTTTAGAATAAATTCCCAGTAGTAGGCTTACAGAATCAGAAACTATGACCTTTTTAGGGTTCTCTTTATAAATTGCTAGAAACAAAACATTTTTGAAAACAGCTTTCTTTTGGTGTAACTTATATACCATAAAACCCTCCCACTGCAAGTATACAATTCAGTCATACTTTGTATAGCTTTGCAGCCATCACAGTCCAGTTAGTCCCAAGATTCCAAAAAGATCCTCCGTGCCCATCTGTATGCGGTCATTGCCTCTTTGCTTTTAGGAAGGATTAAAACCTCATATCCTTTTGTGCAGAGATGTTAATGTTCATTACATTACATGTGTGAGCATAAGTAATGCAGTATCACGGTCACAGGGCAGTAAGGGGGGAGTCCTTATTCAATTTTATTTCTTTAGTACTTTGAAAGGTGATCTTCATATAGATCAGGTGGAAGACATCAAAGATTACTGCTAAAATGCTGTTCTCACTTTTTATTTCAGTTTATCATGCTATCTACTTGGAAGAAATGGTTGCCTCAGAAGTTGCTCGAAAACTTGCGCTGGTGTTTAATATTCCTTTCCACCAGATTCACCAGGTTTACAGACAAGGCCCCACTGGTATTCACATTCTCGTTAGCGATCAGGTAACTCGGACTGGCGTGCCTGCTTGCTTTTCCCTTTCACACTGGTACTTTTCTTTATGTCACTGATGAGCTATAGAAAAATCCCATGACCTCTGCAAGTACTCGTGAGAATCACTTTCAGTTGGGAATCAAATTGGTAAGAACTTATAACCAGGGGTTCCACGTGTCCTGAGTGGTAGAAGGAATACAAGGCTGGGAGAACCGTGGCTCCGCTCCCACCCCCCTGAACTCCCGACTGGGCCCTGGGGACTGCAGGGCGGCGAGGCATTTGGATGTGTCTCCCTTTTGTACACTACTTGATGACTAATTGTAAAAAGCCCTAAGGTTAGAAGGGAATTAGCACCACCCCCCACCCCTCGTTCAGTGACAGGCAAGTCATAAGAGCACTTCAGAGTGGTGACTTTTTGTTAGAGTCATTACTCACAGGACCCGGCAGGGGTGCTCCCCAGTGGGCCGGGGTGACCGGATCTCGGGGACCACCACGGGCAAGCCCGGGCGGCGCAGGGCCCGGCCCCACAGCAGGCGTGGGTCCTGCTGCTCACCGCCTTCCTGAGCAACCGTCTTGGCCATTGAGGCCTGTACTTGTGCAGTGGGATATACGTTATGACTTTTCCTTTCACTAATTTTAATTTTTAACTAATTTTAATCTTTTCTCATCAGTTAAGAAAGGACAGTTGGATCTTAATTACACATCTGCTTTATCCTTCTAGATGGTTCAGAACTTTCAAGATGAGAGTTGTTTTTTATTCTCCACAGTGAAAGGTACTTTGCATGTTATGTGTGTCTTGAAATGCTGGGAACGTGAGGGATCGTGTGTGCGTGTAATCCGCAGTCATCTTGTATGTTTTCTTTTGAAAATGCTGGCTTCACTTATTTTAAGAAGAAAGTTTGAGTTAAGAGAATGTTTTTAGTGATTGAAATAGAAATTAACTAGCAAGTAGGGAAGAGGAGTCAGGCCTCCTCGGGCTGACGTTTGACTGGGCCGCTTGTGTCAGACACGTGCTGCCGGTGCCAGGCTGGGGAACTCCCGCTGCAGCTGGGAAAGCGAACCAGGGTCAGTCAGCAGACGTGCATGAGTACATGTATTGCAACTTAGGTGCCGTGAAGGAACGAGAACGTGTGAGTGCTCATGGCTGCGGGGTCCGGGAGGGGTTGCTGAGAGCTGTTAGGGCTGTTGAAGGCCGAAACCCGGAGTGTGGGAGGGCTGGCCGCGCGAGGAGCACCCCAGGCAGCATGGGGCTGTGTGCGGGCTGAAGAGCTTGGCTTCTCTGGAGGCCTGGCGGCCATGTGGCTGCCGGGCAGTAAGGGGAGAGCTGAGCAGGAGGCCAGTCTGGTGTGGGGGGGAGTTTAGATTTTGAAATGCACTGGGAAGTCAGTTGTTTAAACAAATGAGTAATGTGAATAGGTCTTTTTCTTCCTCTCCTACAACTCTGGAGACAGATGAGAAAGAAGGTGGGAAAACTGGAGGCAGGCGATACCATCTGTATGAGAGGTGATGGTATCTTACACATTTAGAGACAGGGCCTTGCTGGGCTCCACCTTTGAGGGAGTAATTGTGGCTCATGTGAGCCACTGGGCAGACAGTGGTCCCAGCAGACAGGTAGGTCTGGCTTGGGGTCAAGAGCTCCAATTTAGATCCGGTAACGTGGCAGGTCATTAGGTCCGTCCAGGGCTGGCCAGATAGTCCTGGGCTTGAGATGCGGGCTTGGAAGCCTTCAGCATAATCTGGTGAGTCCAAGCCATGGAGACCACTGAGGTCGCTGAGGGGGAGAGTGTAGACAGTGGGCCCTGACGGGACTCAAGAGAGTCCAATGAAAGGGTTAGAGAAAGGAGGGGCGCCTAAGTGTAAGGTTATTAGCGAGAGGAGACCTTGGAAAGTCTGGTGAGTTAGGGTCTAAATCTGGTCTAAGCACAGAAGCTGCACCTCCAAGAGCCAGATGTCATGTGTCACCCTTTTTTACTCTGTGAAACTTACATTGTCCTTAAAAAGGGAAGTTCGTACGTTGAGCTGTGTTCCGGGAAGGCGGGGGCCATTTCTGTGTCGGACGTCACAGGACGCCCCTGCAGCCTGTGTCCTCGTCTTCAGGCGTTTGTCCACAGGGGAAAATTCATGCTCTGTACCATTTCCTGAGAAACACAAGGCCATCAGGCAGAAGTAGTATTTTTTTTTTAAATGTTTCAGGTCTACTTTTGAAGAATTCATTTTTTCTAGAAAAGGGGAATGTAAGCGCTGGCTGTATTTGCGGGCCTACTGCCTCAGCGGGCGGCCCGTGGCCTCCCAGAACCGCGGGCGGTACGGACGGGCGGTGATGGGAGCGTGGGCCCTGCGGTAAAAGGAAGATGTCTGAGGAGGGACCGTGTGGTGAAGTGGCGTCAGGGAGAGTTGCTGGAGCAAGTTGATGAGGTTTTTTCCTCTGGGATTATTTCAAGGTAACCTCTGCATTGGGGCGGGAGGTTGCGAGGGCCTAGGAGTGTTCAGTTTCATCTTCACTTTCCAGCCTGGTAAGAAATCCCATGTAACTTCTCTTTCCTTTTCTGTAGCTGAAAATGGCGGTGGCGTCCACATAATTTTGAAGTGATGTCTTACGTAGTCTGAACTTTACTCAGTACCAAATAAAGTCACGCCTAAAAGTGTGTGAAGACTGAATCCAAGAAGTCTTGGGATTGGATTTTACCATATGAAATGTTTCATATTGAAAACACAGGATGACCTTTCTAATGAGCTGTATGAGAGCGACTCTCCTCACTGTCACTGCCGTGGCCCGGTGTCCTCGTGAAGGCGGGCGCGTCCGGAAGGCGCCCCACGCCTCCGGGGGCCACGGCAGGCGGGGCTGCCTGCTTCTCTGGCAGAGAGGCCAGTAGATACAGTTCCAGAAGCAGCCTTTGCTGGCTTTTTACACTGTATGCGGTTTGGAAATGAATGTAAAACCGTACCGTGGGCATTTACGTTCTGTGCCAGTTTGGCTTCTGAGGCCGGGACCTTCTGCTGACCTGCGCGGGAGGAGCCAGCGCGGACCTGTCTGCGGGGACGCGACGCCGGTGCTGAGTGACGCGGGGTCACCGGTGGGCAGGTAAGGGGCCTGGCGCCTGCTGGGAAGCGATCATGTCTGAGGGCGTCTACGGATCCTGCCCGATCGGGGGACATCCGAGCCAGGAAGACAGGCTGGAAGCAAACTGCGTTATCAAGAGTACCTTGGTGAGAGGATCAGTGTAAATCCTAATAGGTACAAAGACTTTCGTGTTTCTGCTTTGTCACAGATTTATTGAAAACCTTTTTGCTTCTGCTTCCATTTTTAGCATTTTGTTTCTGATTTTCATTTTTGAAGCCCCCATGCCTTTTAAACTCATGTGGTTTTCTTTCTTGTTTTCCTCCCTCCCTTGGTCTCCCGCCACCCTTCCCACCCTGCACTGTCTTGTTGAACATTTTTAAAGCCCTGTCCCCGACATTGGAAATACACCTAAGCAGGGAACACAGTATGACAGTCTCTGGTTTGGTGTTAAGGGGTCTACATTATCAAGTCGCAGTTACTCACGGAACACTAGACATCATGAACACTATTGTACCGTCAGGATTCCTCACGCTGTCTCAAGTCCTGAGCTTCAGCACAATCATGGGTGACATTCTGGTGATTACTTAGGGGCTTTTTTTATACACCACGTAATAATTTCCTTTTCTATAAAAAGAGTGCCTCTTCCACAAAACCAAATGCTTGTCGGCCAGTATACTTTTCAAAGGGAATCCACTGTTTCTGCAAATTTTTTTTAAACTATCGTTTTATCTTCTCCCTTCACTCAAAGCCTTCTCAAAATTCATCAGCAAGCATTTGAGGCCTGTGGTGTAGTAGACACAATTTTTTTTCAAACTTCAATTCCATTTTAAGTATACACCTCTGTCTGTTTACCAAGGTATTTGGGTTTTGAATGTATTATTTGATCCTCCTCTTCAGAAATAGGAATGAGTAATTCTGAGTTTGAAATCTCTCCCAGAAGAGAAACTACTTCAGTAGTTAAAAGCGTTAAAAGCTTTGGCATTTTATGTTTTGTGTTACCCATAAAGGGGTAATTTGATATGAAAAAGTACTGTCTCTAAATCTTTCCATCTTCAGCTTGAAAATATCCGTAACTCGTATAGACCCAGAGGCAGGAGTGCTTTCCTTTCTGTCATCGTCCCTTAGCTTGTGTGTGACCACATGTTTTCTGTACCAATCACTTGGGAAGGAAGTGAGCTTCTCTTAATTGTTTTAGAGTTTTGCTTGTCTATTTAGCATTCCTTTGAGTCTCAAGATTTATGGAACAATAAATGTCACTTAATGCTGTGTGCTATTTTGAATTCCTCATCAGGTAGGCGAAGTGGAGTAAAAAACAAAAATTAAAAGCCCATCAAACTTGAAATTTACACCAAGCGGCATTGAACTTGGTCTGTCCCAGTGAAACAGGTTAAATTATGGCACCAGCAAATTTGCTACTTTGTTTTTTTAATAGTAGGATGTACACATTTCAGTATAATAAATGTTTTCCGATTGTTTTGCAAATGTGTGTCTCATTTAAAATCCCAGTTCCTGCCAGTGTCACCTCAAGTCATAGAATCCAGGGGTTCCCTGGGTATGTTCTGCGTACACACCCAAATATTATAAGAGGTGAGTGTTTGGGTTTTTTTTTTCTTTTCCTTGAGTTTGTTGTTTTCTCAAAGCTGACGCAGCGGAGGACCAGTTATTCCAGTAATTGTTCCACACTTAAGAAAGCCAGGTTTGTGTCCTTGTTATCAGCAGTTCTCCTGTTTTGTAAATGATAGTCATGCGTCACTAACTGCAGAGTCCAGATGCTGTGATAGGTTGTGTCCTGGCTCAAAAGAGGTAATACATAGAATGTCCCGATCATTTAGAATTTTAAAACAGAAGCTGTATTCATAACTTCCTGCATCCGTCATGTAAATGTCTACTTAAATAACTGCTGAGGTATTCACACAGGCTCCGGACTGGGAGGTACTCGGGTGTGTCACCAGGCAGTAAAATCATCAGGACCCTGACGGTGAGCCTGACAGTCCCGGTCGCTCTGGAGTCGGTCCCCCTCTGCCGTCTCTCCGTGGAGTGCCGCTGAGGCCTTGCGTCCTGCTTCTGTACTGCCCACCACCCAGAAGCGCTGCTGGGCGCGGGAGGTGTCTGTGCTTGCTCTTTCCTTCAGCTTGTGTGCTCTGGGCTCCTCGGTGTGGGGAATGGCTGCTCAGAGGAGTTGGCTCCTGTGAGCACAGAGGCTCACAGTGACCGTGGTGTGGGTTCCTGGTCTTAATTGATAAAGGTCACAGATGTGACAGCACAGAGCAGAAACTAGATCATCTTATCAGCTCTTAGGTAACATTAGGAAGGTCTGAATTTGGACAATGGTGTTGCTCAGATTTGTCCTACATAAGAAAATGGCAGTAAAACTGACGTAATAAGCATCGCCATGGTTTATTCATTCTTGTAAGTCTCAAAGGTGCCAACGCTTTACTGATCTGAGTTTTAAGTGTGTAAAATTTTTGGTGTAACTTGATTTCCGAGACTTTAAAATAAACTTGGGGGAAAAAATCACACCCATTCTACATGCACCATTCATTATTTTTAATCAGTTATATTGTAGATAACTTGAGCCTTAATTCTGTTTCTTTAACATCCCCCAAATTTTGTGAGAGATGACAATGATTAGCTTTTCTAGAACAAAAACACACTATGTGCTGTAGCATATGCCAGAGCTTGTAATTTCCAACCAGGCAACACAGACTCTGAGTTGCTTTTGTTTAGTTTGTGTTTTTGGCCCCCAGACGTGTCTACAAGTTGACAGAAACAGAAAGGTGAAGACCCAGCTCCACCCACTCTGGAGTCCTCATTTCTTTGGTGTCTCATGGAAACCTATTAACTTGCCTTCCACTTAAGTCTCTACATAGAAAACTGTCAGGCATTATGAATTTACAGTACAGTCACTTTGATAAAGTTGCTGTTTGATCTTCAAACTGGAAAGGTCCTTCTAATCAAAGTGGAATCATTGTGAATAAAAGTAGGCCCCTGGCTTTGAGTATCAGGTAGAAAATCAACAGCTTATCTTTCTGCTCAGTTTGCGCCAACACTGATGGTCTGCTGAGGAACACTGACAAAGCCGAGGGCAGGAATTTATCCCTAGGAAGGCGGCACCTACCTCTTAAGAGATCCGGGTTTCTTGCATGGTCCTGGCTGCGCTGAGACCGCTCTTGCCACGGGTTAACTGATGTGAGGCTTTGAGCTGATTGCATCATAGCAGAATGAGGAAGGGAACTGTCACCAGAGTTCCTGCCATCCCTACGGAAGTCTTTTACCTGTAAACGCCTTTCCCACTGGAAAATCAACAGGTCTGGGTGATGGTGGAGTCGGTCAGAAAGACTCTGGTCTTCCCTGCAGGAAGGGACACCTCGTGGCGCGCTGGGTCAGAGGATGACACAGCACCTGCACAGCCGCTGTCCGCCGCCTCCCACCGCACTGGGCGGGGTGACCGGCGCAAAGTAGGCGTGGACTTTGACGTGAGGGAGCTGAGCCTGGAAGCAGAAGGAAAAGGTGAGGTGCTCTTTATGCTGTGGTTCGGGGATTACAGGCCTCATCCTAGAAAAGGCCACAGTCTTCATGTACAATCTACTTCATTCTACTGCTAGGCAGAGTCCAAACAGTATTTCTGGTGGAGGCTGAAGCTGCTCTTGTTCACACACACACCCCTAAAACCACACCTTCTAAAGACAAAGGGAAACTCAGAACACTTCTGCCCGGGGTGCTCACTGCCTCTACGTGCAGATGAGTGGGGCCCCCACAGCTGGAGCAGCTGGGGCTGCTCCGGGGAACAAGCAGAAAGTCGCCTGAAGTTAAAGCATATTCAGGAAGACGGTGCAGGTGAACTGCGTGGGAAAGAACACCAGTCTGCTTGGCCACTTCGCCTGGAAACCAGCCAGGACCGCGTTCTGCCTCCTCCTGATGACGGCCTTGAGTCAGCCGACACATGGAGCCTCCGCTCAGACCCACTCTGGAAGTTGACTCTTCCAGGGAAGGGGGTCTAATAAGGAAGTCTGAGGCGATGCCTGTGTCAAGGTCGCAGTCTGCGTAATTGCCAGCTCGGGACAGAACACGGGAGGTGGCCCTGCCCCGCACTCACCCGCATCCGCTTGATGCCCGCGCGGGTGACCTGCTGGCAGTCGTACAGCTCCAGGCGCTCCAGGCCGCGGCAGTGCTCCAGGTGCTCCAGGGCCACGTCAGTGATGAGGAGGCAGTTGTCCAACTCCAGCACGCGCAGCCTCTCGTGGCCGCAGGCGCTGTTGCTCAGGTGCAGGATCCCGTCGTCTGTGATGAGCTCGCAGTGGGACAGGCTCTGGGGAGGCGGGGGGAGAGCGGCTGTCTGCAGGGTCCCGGGAACCCAGCATTGGCAGCAGAGTTAGGCACAAAGCCTTGGGCTGGCCTCAAGCCTCCAGTGTGTCCGCGTGGAGACACGCTGCAAGGGCCCATCCGGGACAAGACAGCCACGTGAGAGGGCCCTCGACTCCCCTCTCCCACCATGACTGCAGCCCCAGATGGAACGCCCTCCCTGGAAGACACACAAAGCCCAGCTGAGTGACTCCTGCATGTCATGCAGATGAGAGAAGGCCCACGTGGAAACGCGGAGGAGAGGCCGGGGCACAGTCTTGTCATGAACCCCGCCCCCGAGTGTGGAGACCCACCATCAGGAGGGCACTCAATCCTGGAGCTGCTCACAGGAGCAAAGGGTCCCCCCACATGGGGCCCCCAACTTTTAAGACAAGCCCCTAACACATCCAGCTCTGAAAACCACTGGGCTCACCTTCCTGATCAGAGCCACCGTGAAGGGCTCCCATCCCCGGGCCCAGCGCAGGCGAGGCTTGTGGAGACTGGTGGGCACCACCTCTGCACCTTCCCTGTGTCTCTCCAGGCCTCCCGCCCCCAGCACCCCCGGCTCTTACGCAGAGCCCGGCTTCTGCAGCTGCCACCAGGGCAGAAGCCTGCCTCTCCTGGCCAGCGGGGCCACACAGGACTGTAACCAAGCAGAGTTCGTAGACGGTGACCGCCCCAGGGCACAGCAAGAGAAAGCAGACCCAAGAGCTCGGCCTTTCTCTGAAAGAAGCCTGTTAGTTATCATCCCAGCTGCAGCCCGAGGGGCAGGCTTCCACTTAAACACACATCCAAGGGCTGCCCGGAATCCCTTCTAGAGACTTTGGAGGGCAAGTGCTCTCCCCTGACACGCTCCAGAGCGCCGCACCTCCCAGAGGGGAGCTTCTCCAAGTGGCGGGTGCCCCAGTCTTTATAGCTGGCGCCCAGGGGATGCCCTGATCACCTGGCCCCGAGGGCCAAAGAGGCTTGCATTCCTGGGTCTCCTGGGACTTTAACATGAGGAGAGTTAGTTCCTGGCAGGCTACCACCCCCAGGCACTGAGAGACTGCAGACAGAAACATGCTCCCAGTCTTCCTGGGAAAGAGGCCTATGTGCTGGCCCTGGGGCTTGGGCGTGTGCGGCAGGCTTCAGGTTTGGCACCCAGCTAGGGGCCTGTGCACGTGTGCTGGCTGAAGGCAGGCAGGTGCACGCCAGCTCTGCAGGCTCCCTCGGCCCTGCTCCCTGCTAGAGCTGGTCAGTACCTGAGATGGGAATTTCCACCCTTATCTGGAGGCCCTGGAGCTGAAGAATACAGTAACTGAACTGGAAACACCAGCACGCTCCGAAAGAGACTAGATGAAGTGGATGAAAGGGTCCATGACTCAAAAGACAGGGCAGAGACGTTCACCCATCAGAAAAGCAAGAGAAAAAAAAGTGAAGACAGCCTAGGGGACTTACAGGACAACATCAAACAGACGAACCTTCTAAGGGTCCCAGAGGAAGAAAGGTGCTGAAGCTGCTTGAAATAGCAGATGACAACTTCCCTAACCTGCGGAAGGAAACAGGCATCCAGACCCAGGAAGTCCAGAGATGCAAGGTAAGGTGGACCTTGGCCCCCGTGGCTGGTGCAGGACTCGTGGGCTCCCACATGTGCGCGTGGAGTCACTGCTGTGGAGTCTGGGGAGCCGTCTGGTGGCCCAGTGAGTCTCGGTATTCTAGGCTAACCAGAAGGTCTGAATAAACCAGGTCCTCAGTTTGGGAAAGAAACACAGGCTGGGCCGCGCTCCTTCACGTGGCGCCACAGAACAGCGGCCCCTCGGACTGCGGGCCCCGCCACAGGTCCTCACTGTCGGCTCTTTAAAGCTGGAGAGGAGTGAGTCCACCTCATGAGCAGTGCCCGAGTCTGGTCCTGGCCCCCATTTGGCCTCACACCGCCCCCTCCCTTATTCTAAAGTCCAGAAAACACAGGCTGTGTCCTCTGTGTCAGATGCCCTTCTCCACCTGCCAGACCCACACACACACAGGGGGACTCATAAGTCCTGCACCTGCCGCCGGGGCCAAACCCCTCTCCGGCGCACTGTGGCGTTCTGTGGCCGAGACGTCAGTTTATCCTCACTGACATCTTATCCTGTGGTTTGAGTGAGTACATATTTCTCAAAGCCCCTGCTCTGAGAACGGGCTCAGCAGCTGAGAGATTTAAGAGGATGACAGCTTTGCTGAGTGAAGAAGGTGAATCTTGTGGATCAAGGGAGTGACTTAACAACCGGCCACAGAATTCAGGCTGGGGGCGGGGGGCGGGCATCAAACGGGGATCGACAGTGAGAACGTGGCGGGGTGAAGGGGTCCCATTTAGGTTAAATTGCTGTCGCAGTCGGGAAACAGAAGGGGGACTGGGAAAGGCCGGGTGAGGTCTGTCAGACTGCGGGCCTGAAACAGACACACACAACATAGTCTCTTACGCTGCTGTCTTCAAAGGTGTTGAATGTTTCCCCTTTAAGGTGGAGAAAGCATTCACCTAAATGTTCCCGGTCTTGCAGCCCTGCTTCCTCCAGAGCAGTGAGGGTGCCTGGAAGACTCTCCTGTGGTCGAGAGCAGGCTCCCGCCACTGGCAGCCGTGTGCCTGTTGTTCTGAGCAGAGAGTAGCTGACTGGACACCTGATGGGCTTGGCTGCCTACAAATCACTGGGCATCGTATAAAGCAGGACGAAAATAAACTGCAGAAATGAAGACAGTAATATATTGCCCCCTTTTGGGGGGCTATAATCCCTTATTCTTTAGTATAATTCAGCTAAAATTCCTGATAGCTTCTAGGACCCCTGAGCTGTACAGTATGATTTTAAAAGCCCCCCAAAGCAGCCCCGGCACTGAAGTGGAAAGCAGCCCCTCCACTACCAACAGAACTGCCGACGACACTTCCTGTCAACTAAAAGCTGAAGGAACAGAGAGGGTCCTTAACCTCCTTAGAATAAATTTCCTGACTCCAGATGCTTCCAGGGCCCCCTCTGTATTCTTTCGAGTTCCTCTCATTTCCAAACGCGTTCATTTCTACAGGATCAGCTTCCCTTTCAAATACCCTTCTAGATTTTGATTTTGTGTAACTACAAGGCCCCTCCTCCCGGAGGCTCACAGAGCGATTCCCGGGAGGGGTGGGGCATGTGCACACCTGCCCCACTTGCACTTAAAGTTCAGCCTGGGAACTGAAGTGTTAGCAAACGAGGTGCGGCGGTCATCTGGCCTGGGGTCACGTCCCTCTTTCTTCCTGTTTGCAGATCTTTAGTAAAAGATAAAAACCACATTTCAAAATTCTGAATCTATGTAGCTTTGCCTCCTGTGACCACCACCCCCAGGCTGGGGGAGGGATCTCAGCTCTGTCACGGGGAGCAGGGCTAAGGCGGGGACCGGGCTGCGTCTCCAGGGAGGAGACGGGCACTGGCATACCCGAGGCCGCCATCCCAACCCTCCCGGAGTGCACCTGTGCCGGCGGACCTGCCGTGCAGGACGCACGTCCAGGGACACCTGCGCTGTCTGCTGCCCTCAGCTTCACCCGAGGGTTGACAGAGGCACTGCTGTCACTGTGCGTCACCAGAGCGGGGAGCACACTTGAGCATCCCTCCAGCAAGGACCCAGACACTTGCTTCCCGGGCTTCAGGGTGAGGACAAAGCTCGTCCCTCCTGAGGAGCTGCCTTCCTGTTCCCTGGTGCCTAGAACAGTGCCTGGCGCGTGGTCCTCAAGAGGTGTTTGCAGAGTGAATTCAATGGACAGACAACAGACAGCACAGACAGAATACAGAGCGTTCCCCTTTTCTGTCCTGGCATCAGGCGTCTCCAAAGCTAAGTTTAGACTTCAACTGTGATTGTTTCCCTACTTTTTGGCTAATTCTCCATTTTTTTAAATTTGGGGCTCTTCTCTTGAGCTTCTGGTTTTATCACAGTTTACCTTTTGCTCTAGGTCCCCTTTCTGGAAGTAGCTGGTACAAATACAGGGGAAGACAGAGATGTTCAGTCAGAGGAATCCTGGCTGGGGAGGGAGGACGCTGGCTTGGAAGCCACTTCCTGACAAGCTGTCGGGGTGGGCCCTGCACTCCTGAGGGGGCAGGAGGAAGAGTGGGAGTCAGGGAGCCGGTGGAAGGCTTGTCCTAGTGCACACGAGCAATGTGCTGAGATGCTTGCGGACATGGGGGGAGGGCCGGGAGTCGTGGGGGCGGGGGGGGGGGGACGAGGTGCAAAGTGGGAAGAAGAAAGGCCCCTAAACCCGCCCACACCTCTGACAGGCCGGGTCTGGAGGATGAGCCGAGCCCAGGGAAAGCACGTCTGAGTAACAGGGTCTGCAGGTTCTAAAACTGGGTCAGAACCAGCCTGGGGTAAGGACATTAAAACTACAAAACTATCTACAAATAGGAAAACAATGTCATCAGAGAGTTTGGATACAGGCAGGTTCCTGACTGATCTCTGAAATCTGATCCCAAACTCTTAAAAAAAAAAAGCCCCAGAGCTGCCCAAAGCGCAGAGCACTTGCACCTGACAGAAGCAGCCCCCAAAAGGGATGTCAAAGTAAAGAAATTCGGTGGAGAGTTCTAGTCCCTGGAGTCAGAGACAGACGGCATCAGAAAAACCTGTTGTGTATCCCAGGGCGCAGGCAAGACCAGACCCCACAGAAGCCACGACACCTGGGGCCTTTGGGCAAGTTTCTTAAGCACGCTGAGCCTCAGTTTCTTCATAGAGAATGGGGATGTCCACAGCGCCTGCCTCGCAGGGCCAGGCTGGTGGGAGGAGCGGCAGAGTTCACACGGCCTGCGCAGGGAACCCCTCCACAGGACGTGGCACGTCTGAGTGTCAGTGACACTTCTCACGCTCATTCTGGACCTTTCAATATATCCTAACTCCTCCCCCACCCCCATAGACACATACGTGTGAACGTATACGAAATGCAGTGGAAGGCTGGCCTCATTTAAACATGCTTTCACTCCACCTGACACCATGAACGTGAACTTGAGGGAAGTGGTGAGGATGTGGCCCATGTTAGGTTCACATCCTAAAACGAAAGCAGTGACCTTTAGGTCGCCCACCTCCCAAGCTGCCCACTAACAGACCTGTGAAGTCAGCAGGCTGAGACCCTTGCCAGTGTCACGGCTCTTGCTGGGGTGGGAGGTTCTTTCATCCCCAAGAGGTAAGTAACGTCACAAAAAGCTGAGACTCACCAGGGCTTGCAGCCTGGGGCAGTGGATGGAGAGCTGGCTGAGCGTGCTGTCGGTTATCTGCAGAGAGACACGCGTGTCGGGGGGGCTTCTACACAGAACCCGACCTCTAACCCTGCTCCTCCTGAACGCCCGGACCGGAGGGTACAAGAGGGAATGACGCCTCCCTGACGCACTTGGGGTGCGACGTCCTCTCTCCACCTCCATTCTGCTCATTCCTGGAGCTGCCAGGCTTTTCTCCTGTTTCTCCTCTGGTGCCCCAAAGGGGACAGGGGACAAAGAGGGAGCAGGCCGGGAGGGTCCCCAGGGTTCTTTGTGGAGTCATCCCCTTGCTTCTCTCTTTCAGTTGTGTGAAAACGAGCACACACAGACACCCACTTTTTTTAAACGTTTGGCAAAAGCTGGAGCTACCCTCGACTTCTCGGCTGTAGCTCCGATGACTGACAACAACCCCAAGCTCACGCAGCCCACTGCCGTGGCCCTCACAGGTTCCCAAGCCCCAACACCTGCGCCGGGGCAAGTGCAGGGCCAGACGAACCAGCCGGCATCTCCAGCTACTCCTGTCTGTCTGTCAGCAACCGAGGGGCAGCCCTGCAGGGCTGTCAGGAATCCACTCACCAGGATACATTCTTCCAGATCCATCTTCTCCAGGTCATGACAATTCTGTAAGAGTCCATCAGACACCCCGGTCAGCAGCTGGGGCGACAATGGGGCCTGTCCCCCCAAGCACCAGCCCAGTATCCTCATCTCCTCCCATCCAGGAACGTGCCCTGGTCCTAAGGGCCCCAGTGAGCCAGCACGTCGCGGAGCAGGTGCCCTTGGAATCATATTCACTTTAGAAATGGGAGTTAGGGCTGCGTTTCCTTCTCTTGTCCTGCAAAGGCACTTCCTGCACCTTCCCAGTGGCTCCTGGTAACAGCACGTACATTGAGCCACAGAACAGACCCTGGGCGGGCACAAGGTGGGGTGCTCGCCAGGCAGCGGCTCCTTCATGGGGGCCCCCCCGACCAAGTGACAGCGCGGCCCAGACCGCTGCTGAGCCCTCCCTTGGGCCTCCCCAGCTCTCTGGCCAAGTGCAGAAAAGGCCAGCGCACCCCGATGACTCTGCTCCACTTGGTGCCTGTCATTTCTGAAGGAGCCTCCTGCAGCCTCCAGGACCACCCCAGGTTACTCTGAATGAGGGAGGTGAGCTGCAGTTCGCTTTGGTTTGGTGAAACCTCTCTCTTACCCGAGCTAAAAGCGTAAAACCTGCGTCAGTCAAGTGGGAACATCGGGCAGCCTCCAAAATCCTGGGTAAGAGGCACAAGGAGAAGCAGCAGGACAGGTTAGCGAGGGGAGAGCGCCCTCTGCCGTGCACTCTCGAGTTTGTCCTAACACAAAAACGAGGCTGAGGGAGGGCCACCACCGGCCCCAGTCGCGAAGTCCCGACCCAAACTCAGGCAATACGGCCAAAATCTTCCTACAATACCAGCACGTGGCTGCTGTTGCTTTTAAGTATTACTCCAATATTTTTGACCTTTAAGCACAATTAAAACGTACTTTTACTCAACAAAATTCTCTTGTTCCCATTTCTGCCCCCCACAGGGGGAGGTAATCAGGTTTATTTACTTTTCATGGAGGTGCTGGGATGGAACCCAGGACCTAGTGCACGCTAGGCATGTGCTCTACCACTGAGCTCTACCCTCCCCCGTCAACAAAATTACCTTGATACATACTGCATTTACTGAAGTTCACAGTTGTCCTGAAGGAAACTTTAAAAATTTGCAGCCAATGAAAACACCCATGCTTACCAGGGTGGATGCTTAAATAACATTTCCGAATTAAATTGCTCCCTCATAGCAGTAACTCTGACCTCTTTTTTCACCAGTTTTGATCATCCAGACTCCTACTATGCAGAAATATCAAGATTATCTAAAATCTTCCCTAACAGAATAGTCAGAAAAACGGGGAAAAGGCAAACAGACAATCCTTAAAAGATATGTAACTGGTGTAAATATGAAAAGTGGATCAGTTCACTGCTAAGTAAAGAGTAACAAGACAAGCCTCCCCTTTCTGCCTGTTTGGGGTTAAGACTGCTGGTTCTGAAGTCAAACTCTCTAAGTTCAAATTCGAGTTTTACTTCTAACTCACCATGTGACCCAGGATAAATTATGTGATTTTCTTAGAGTCTCAGGTTTTCCTCTGCAAGAGGGGAACAGTCCCTGCCTCACAGAGGGCGGTGAGGAGTAAGGGAGGCAGCGCTCCTGAAAGTGTCTAACAAAGAGCCTGGAAGTGTCAAGAGTTCAACTCATGTTAACCATGATTAGTATTTGTTGCCATTATTAAAGTATTAATATGCACAATATCATGTGGAAAATCAGAAAATAAATTATTACTTGTTGAAACAGAACATTTCTTCATGCCTAGGTGAGAAATGATAAATAAGGCAGCTGTGATTTTTCCCCCTTCTGTTCATTTAGCAGCTGGTTTAGAAGAGAACCTGGTGACACGTGGATGTGAGGCTATCACTCTGTCACTGTAAGATCACCCAGATGTCAAAGTATTAACCAATCAGGCAGGCAAATGAGGGAAGTCCGTCGAGAAGTTAAGGCTGGGATTCCCTGGTGGTGGGGCTCCCCACTCACCCCTCAATGAACTCGACCACACACTGTCCCCCACTCCATCGGACAAAAGCCAACAACACAACCACTGCCGCCACCACCGCCTGTTCTGCCTGCTGGCCAGCCTGTCCCCTCCTGCAGGAAGCCCGCCAGTTCTGCTCTGAGCCCCAAAGCCAAAGGCGCGGCGCACTCACTGGAGTCTCGGGCAGTTCAAAGCCAGGGCGGTGAGGGAGGCGTCGGTGAGGTTGCCGCAGCCCGAGAGGCAGAGGGCCTGCAGCCGGGGGCAGCCTCTGCATATCTGCACCACGCCTTCGTCCGTCACGCGCTGCGGAAACCGAACAGAAACGAGTGTCAGAGGCGGCAGCGCTGAACCCGGAGCAGCGGACACGGGGTGCACCGAGCGGCCAGCCGTCTGGGCTGCCAGTTACCGGCGATTCATCCTGATCACTGAAACAACACAGGGCGCAGGGCAGGGCAGACACGTATTGCGTTCCCTCTGCACAGCTGTAAACCACCCTAGCATGACTCTCAGAGTGAAATGTTACAATCCCATCTTCCTCCTGAGAGTCATTTGATTTTTTTTTCCAGGGAAAAACCATTAACTTGTGTTAAAAAATCAGACTTAACCAAGAGCTGGCAAAGCTTGCCTGCTTAAGTGACACATTAATTTTTGGTTGAATTTCTACAGATTAATGCTTTAGCTCTCTACCGTATAAAGCAGAGCAGACATGTGTATATTTATCATATTTCCTGAAATGTTTTAGAAAATAGTGAGATGAAGCACTAAACTATTGATAAGTGGCTCAGAATGCTATGAATTTAGCCAAGAAGATTCAAACTAGTAACTTTATTTAAATATACTAATTTGTGTAGAATTAAACATCTACATTTATATTCAAGTCGCCTGCCAGTGCTGTCCTACAAACAATTCAAAGTCCTATTTTTGTTTTTGTTTTGTTTTTCTTTCTCATTTAAATTTTTTAATTTATTCATTTATTTATTTTGAATAAGGGCTTTTGGGGGGGCAGGTAACAAGGTTAAGTTACTTATTTTAATGGAGGTACCAGGGATTGAACCCAGTCCCTCGTGCATGCGAAGCACACACTCTACCACTGAGCTGCACCCTCCCCCGTCCCATTTTTTAAATTGAAGTATAGTTGATTTACAATGCTGTAGTAGTTTCTGCTGTACAGCACAGTGATTCAGTGATTACACATATAAATATATACAAATTCTTTCTCACATTATTTTTCATCACAGCTCCGTGTGCTCTGCGTTTGAACAGTGCAGTCCCATGTGGTCAATATTTGCTCAGAAGACAGTTTGTTTCATTTCCCACCACCAAGGACTTAAAGATTTATGATTCACTCACTAGATGACAAATGCTAGATGACAAATGCAAGGAATTTCTCTTCTCTCAAAACTGACGTTCCCCCTGAGAAGCCCTGGAGGATGCAGCAAGCAGCCTCCGTTACCAGGACTTAGGCGGCAGTGAAGACAGGCTAATAACTTGCTGGTGAAAACCACACCTTGCTCTTGAACATGCCTTTTACTTTTCAAAGCATTTTCATACCTGTTATTTCATTTTAGCCACTGAGACAACGTGAGAGGTGTCATCATCCCCAGCTTACAAGTAAAGACAAGACACTGAGACCTTGCCAGGAATTGTGCAGGTTAGTTCACAGCACTCCTGATACCGTAAAATGAACCAAGACCCTGAGCTATGATCCTTTTAGGGGAAACGTTAATGGCTCTGTATTGGCCTTTTTGTTTAGATTGTTGCTCTCATCTCGGCAAACTGGTAGATCATAAGGGACACGGGGCGTGAAGTTGGGGTGTGGCAACCACCCTCCCTGCCTGGGGCGTTCACAGCGGTCCCAGCCGATTCCTGCGGGAGAGAACACGGAGCAGGTGGGAGCTCACAGGGCAGGCACGCTACTTACTGAGCAGGACTGTAAGTTGAGGCTCACAAGCTCATGGCAGTAGTTCTGAATGTGTTTCAGAGCTTCATCTTCTAACTGAGGGAATGGAGAAAGCAAAAGACAGTTGGACCCCGGTGAGGGAAGAGAGGGCAGCAGGCTCCCCAGTGAAGTGCACCCCAGATGCGCATCAGGTGAGCAGGCTGCATGGACCCCGGTACCTGGGTGCAGCCCCTCAGGAGCAGAGCTTTCAGGCCGCGACAGCCTCGCACCAGGGCCTCGATGCCGTCCTTGGTGATCTGATCGCACCACGACAGGTTCAGGTACTCCAGGCTCCGGCAGCCCTCGCTGGGGGGACAGGGAACAAGTCACGCACACGCAGCCCACCCGCGGAGAGCTCGTGACCAGCTCTGAGTAGCTCACAAGCCGTTCGGGGGACAGAGACCTCTGTGACCGGAGTCGCCCACTTCCTGCTCCAATGGGATTGTCAGGAAGGCTTCAGACACATTGGAATGTTCACAGCCATTTCCCAGCCAACACGACCACCGCCAGCAGGGACTCTTACCTGATCCCCTTTAAGGAGCTGTTGGTAATGGACACGCAGGAGGTCAGATCCAGATGTTTCAGCTTGGAACAGAACCTGCTAAGGCTGTAACACGTGCTGAAAAAGAGCAGGCGCACTAAAGGTATCTTCAACCACCTTTCTCTCCCCCTGACTCTCCCATGGCCAGTGAGTCCCAAACTAACCTTCCTTACCTACCTGTCAGTGATTTTTGTGCACCCGTTCAGGTTTAAGTGTTCAATGTTTCGGCAGTTCTGCGCAAAGGTCCTAAAATGAGAGAACATTTCAAAACTCCTTGCAAGTGGCTGGGCAGCCACTAGAGGGCAGGCGTCACCATTCACATTTACAACAGGCTCCTCAAATTTTTATTCTATTGTGGAAAGGACACTTTGCTTGAGAGCTACTCTCTTAAGGTTTCAAGTGGATAATATGTAAGTGCTGACTACAGCTCCTAGTGCTGCTCAGACTTTAATGTGCACACAAAGCGGCCGGGGTTGCTGTCACACTGCACTCTGGTGGCGGGCCTGGGCAAACTGCCACGTAGTTTGCATTTCTAAGAAGCTCCCAGGTGATGCCAGTGCTGCTACTCCGGGGACCATCTTTGAGAAGCAAAGCCCATGACTGACTACGTATCAGTTGAAACTCTTTTTCACTCAGACCTTGGAGGTCATGTGAGAATAGAGGTCTGGCTCCCCGTTCCTTCTCCTCTATAGAAAACTCAGTTGGAAGCAAGGGGGCCGAGTCTTCTGAGCCTTGTACTGTGCCACATGCTGTCACTTGGTAACACCAGGGCCTTTCTGGAGAAACCATCTCTGACCACCTATAGGCTCAGCAGCTGATCAGTATCAAGAACCGTCCAATTCCTGGTGAGGACACTGAGTCATGAAGGGCAATGTCCTCAATGATTTGTGGGTTGGCAGCAAGGCCAGAAGCAGAAAGTCACACTTCTTCGCCCTTATTTGCCACTGACTCCTTAACATGCTCAGCAGCATGGCTCAGGGCACCTGCAGGCTCCTGAAATACAGCTTCAACATACAGGACTGAACCCTGCTTCTCCCACGCAGTCCCTAAAGGGCTCCAAACCTGGCCCCAAACCATGCGTCCCTCTCCCCCGCTCCTCTGTCCTGCTACAGCACAGGGCAGGGGACCTGAGCTGGAGCCTGGCGGGCTCCCTGAGAGGAGGATTTGGAGTTAAAAGTCTGACCAAGGCAGTCAGAGTTAGCAGAGAGGAGGATTAGAGTGGAGAGAACCTCAGAGATCTGCAGGGGGCCCCTCGAGAATTCCGCAGAGGACTGAGCAGAGTGTGCGTGGGACGGAACCCCCCAAAGCCAGGGGAAGACCCAACAAGAAGCCTTCAAGGCACCCACAGCCAGAGCTCACCCAGGGCCAGGAGCGGTGCTCATTCCCACCAGCCAGTGGTGAAAACGGTCACAAACTGTGGACTTTCAGAGTGGAGTACAATCATCCCTAGACTAAACGCTTCCCTAGGTCAACCTAACAAATTAAAAAAAATCTCAAAGGAACTACGCCCAAGTAACTCAGCTGCATCCCAGAACAAAACTCAAGTGTGTTTATAGGAATACAAAAAAATTCTGCACCCAAAGTAAAATTCATGATGTCTGGCATTGAATAAAAATTAGCATCCATTCAAAGAAGGAGGAAAACATCTCCATTTAAGAGGAGAAAAGTTCAGTCTATCAAAGCTGACCCAGGACTGACGCAGATATTAGAAAGAGCAGGCAAAGGCATCACAGGTTATCACAGCCATGTTCTGGAGAGCAAGGTTCTGTGAAGCCAGAGTGAAGGGTAAACACATTATGTTTATTACACTTATTACACAGGTGATGTACAGACATGAAAGATATCTTTTAAAGGCACAAACTCTTAGCTATGAAAACCATATGGCTGAAATGAAAATTTACTGGATGGAATTAACGGCAGATTAGCCGTTGTGGAAAAAAAAGATCAGTGAACCTAAAGACACGGTAATAGAAATGATCCAAAATGAAGCATGGAAAGAACAGAACATGAATAAACTGAGTGGCAGCTTCCAGCCACCTGATCGAGTGTGACTGGAGCCCCCTAAAGGACAGCAAATGGCGGAGGGAGGGGTGTTATCTGAAGCAATGGCCACACATTTTCCAAAGCTCTTGGAAAACCATAAAACTACAAATCCAAGAAACTCAAAGAATTCCAAGCACAAGAAACATGAAGGAAACCCCAACCAGGCTTATCATGACCAAACTGGCCAGAATCAGTGACCGAAAAGCAGCCAGAGGGAAGACACGCGATGAACAGGGCACACAGCAGAGGTGCCGAGGGTTTCTCACTGACAACAAGAAAGCCAGAGAACAGCAGCTGCACCTTCAAAACCCTGAAAACAAAAAAGCTGTCAACAGAGAGTTCTATCTTCAGCAAAAGTATGTTTCAAAACTGAAGGGAAAAAAAGCCTTCTTTCAGACATAGAAGAGCTGAGAGAGTTCAGCAGATGTGCAGCACAAGAAAGGCAAAGCACTTTCTTCAGCAGAAGAAAAGTGATCCGAGATGAAAACGCGTGTCTACACAAAGGAATGCCGAACACTGGAAACAGTAAGTACTTGAGCATATAAAGCCAACTGTTTAGTTATTCAAATCTCTTTTAAAATAATCGACTGTTAAAAATACTAATAACCTAGTCTGGAGTTTATATCGTATTTGGAATTAAAATGTGTGATAACAACAGCATAAAGGCTGAGTGATGAAAAATGCAAGTGAAATGTAATATAATGTAATTTTTGAAGGTAGAGATAAGTAACTTAAATGTATACTACAAACTCAAAAGCAACCACTAAAATTACAAAATAATGAGTTACAGCTGTTAGGCAAAAAAAGATACAAAATGGAATTGTAAAATATACTCAATCTAAATGAAGGCAAAAAAGAGGAAAAGGGCAAGAATGAACGCATGGGGCAAACAGAAGACAAACAACAAGACAAGAGTGTAAAACTAACCACACCATGTCAATAATCGCATTAAATGTAAGTTACCTAAATACCCAAATTAAAAGTCAGAAATGTCATAAAGGATCAAAAAAGCAACACCCAACTATATACTGCCTAAGAGAAACCACTTTTAAATATAAAGATACAAATCAAAAATTCGAAGTAAAAGAATGGGAAAACATACCATGCCAACGCCATCAAAAGAAAGCTGGAGTGGCTGTACTGTATCAAAGCAGACCTCAGAGCAAAGAGTATTACCAGGGATAAAAAGAAGGCCGCATGATAATGACAAACTGGCCAATTCATCACAAAGACACAGCAATCCTAAATGTTCATAGACCTAATAACAGAACTTCAAAATACACGAAGAAAGAAACTGATAGAGCTGCAAGGAGCAACAGACAAATCCAAGATATAGGCGTGGATTTCAACACACTTTTCTCAATATTTGATCAAATAAGAAGTCAGCAAATCAGTGAAGATATAAAGACTGGCTCAATACTCTCAAATCAACCTGCCCTAATTTGTATTTATAGAACACTCCACCCAACAACAGCAGAATACACATTCTTTTTAAGTGCACATGAAATGTTTGCCAAGATAGATCATGTATTCTTGGCAACAAAACAAGTCTCAATTAAAATTAAAAGTCATATAATGTATATTCTCTGCTCACAATGTAATTAAATTAGTAGTCAATAACATAAAAATCTGGAAAATGCCCAAATATTAGGAAACTAAATAATACACTTCTAAATAACCCATGGATAAAGGAAGAAATAAAATGGAAATAGAATGCATTTTGAACTGAATGAAAATGTAAACACAGCATTAGAATTTGTGAAATGCCACTAAATCAGTACTTCAGGAGAAATTTAAGCACTAACCTATATTAGTAAAGAAAAAAAGGTCAATCAATGACTTTAGCTTCCATCTTAAACTAGAAAAAAGAAGACCAAATGAAACCCAAAGGAAATAAAGGAAATATTAAAGACCAGAGCAGAAATCAATAAAGCAGAAACCAGAAAAATAATTTTTTAAGAAATCAATGAAGTCAAAAGTTGCTTCTTTGAGAATATCAATAAAATTAATAAGCCTCTAGCTAGACTGACCAGGAAAAAAAAGACAAAAATTACTAATATCAGAGAAATTCAGTCTTTAGTCTTTGAAAATTGGTGTAGTGTCAATTAAAATTCAAAGAATATATATATATGATAATAGATACTGTACAGTCATTGTGATTTTTATTAGATATGGCAACTCCATATATATGTAAATTTAAAAAATTTCATATATATAAAAACATTACCAAAAATCAGAAATGAAGGGACATGTCACTGATTTTACAGATATTAAAATGATAATAAGTATTATAAACAACTTTATACCAATAAATTCAAGAACTTAGGTGAAATGGACAAAAATCTTTGAAAAGCAAAAACCTTACCAAAGCTTATCCAAGAAGGAACAGAAAACCTGGAGTTCTATATACACTAAGGAAATAGAATTCATCTTAAAACCATTCCACAAAAGAAACATGCAGACGCAGATGGCCTCAATGGTGAGTTTTATCTAACACTTAAGGAAAAAAAAAAAAAGCTACATAAACTCTTCCAAAAAATTGAAGAGAAGGAAATACATTTCAATTCATTCTATGAGACCAGTATTACCTTCATATGTAAACCAGACAAAAATATTACAAGAAAACCATAGAATAATATCTCTCATGAACATAGATGTAAAAAAATTTAACAAAATGTTAGCAAATAGATTCCAACAATATGTAAAAAATATAATACATGACAAATTTTGAGGGATTTATCTGAAGGATTGAAGGTTTGTTTAACATTCAAAAATTAACCAATGTAATTCACCAAACTAACAAATTAAATAAGAAAAAACATGATGATCAAAAATATGCAGAAAAAGCAACTTGGCAAAGTCTAGCATCCACTCTTAATATAAAAAACCCTCAGCAAACTAGGAATAGAAGGAAATTTCTTTAATTTGATGATATCAAAAAATCTACAGTTGCCATCATACTTGAATGCTTTTTCCCTAAGACAGAGAACTGACTAGAATGTCTATTTTCATCATTTCTATTCAGTACTGTACTAGAGAGTCTAACCAGTGCAATCAGGCAAGAATAAGAAAAGTTACTGATTGAAAACAAAGAAGAAAAACTATCTTTATTTACAGGTGACAAGACTGCCAACACCCAAAATCCAAAGGAATCAACAAAAAAATCTACGAAAACTAGTATGAGTCTATTCAGGTTGCATGATAAAAGATTAATGTACAAAAATCAATAGTATTTCTATTTATCCACATGATCAATCAAAAATTGAAATAAGAAAATAATACCATTTACAATAACATTTCATAACACTTAGGGATAAATGTGACAAAATATGTGCACAATCTGTACACTGAAAACAACAAAACATACTGAGGGGAATTTAAAAACACCTCAGTATATGGAGAGATACCATGATCAAGGGCTGGAAGGATCAATAATATTAAGATGTCAATTCTCCCCAAAACTGATCTATGTATTCACTGTCATCCTAGTCAAGAGCCCAGCAAGCATTTTTGTAGAAACTGACAAGATGATTCTATAATTTAAATAGAAAAGAAATAAATCTAGTACAGTTAAAACAACTTTGGAAAGGAAAAAAGGTAGAGGACTAACAGAATCTGACTTCAAGACTTATTATAAAGCTACAGTTATGAAGACAGTGTGGTTTGGTGTAAAGATAGACAAATAAATCAGCGGAAAATATTGAGAGTACAAAAATAGTTCCACAATTATTTGGACAACTGATTTTCAACAAAGGTGTAAAGGCAGTTCAGTGGGAAAGGGTAGTCATTTCAACATATGGTACTAGGACAACCAAACATCAAAGGCAAAAATGAATATCCATACCTCACACCATATACAAAAATCAACTCAAAATGGATCACAGGTCTAAACTACAGAACTTGCAGAAACATAGGAAATCTTCATGACCTTGGATTAGGCAAAGATCTCTTAGGTAACAGCAAAAGTATGATTCTTAAAAGAAAAAAACTGATAAACTGAACTTCATTAAAATGAAAAACTTCAGGGGAGGGTATAGCTCACGTGGTAGAGAGCATGCTTAGCATGCACACGATCCTGGGTTCAGTCCTCAGCACCTCCTCCAAATACAAATAAATAAATAAACCAAATTATCTCCCCTTCATAAAACAAGAGGAAAAAAAAGCAAAAAAAACCCCAAAATTAATTGTCAAAAAATGAAAAACTTTAAAAGATAGTTAAGATAATAAAAAGGTAAATCACAGTCTGGGAAAAAATATTTGCAAAACACGTATCTGATAGAAGACGTGTACCCAGAACATACTAAGAACTCCCAAAATTCAGTAAGACAACAATCTAATGAAAAAAAGGCAAAAACAACAAGAAACAAACCTTTGAATAGATGTTTCAGCGAAAAAAATATATAGATAGCAAAAAATAAATAAAAAAGACAATCAACAGCATTAGTCAGTAGAGAAAGGCAAATCAAAATCACAATGGGGTACCACTACACACATCTATTACAATGGCTAGAATTAAAAGAGACTGACCCACCAAAAATTGGCAAAGATGTGGAGGAACTGGAAGTATCACACATTTCTGGTGAGAATGTAAAATGGTACAACCATTTTGGGAAACACTTTGGAAGTTTCTTAAGAAGTTAAACATGCACTTACGAAATGATCTAGCCATTCCGCTCCTAGGTATTCACCCAAGAAAAATGAAAACATATGACATACAAAGTCTTGCACAAAAATCTTTATAGAAGCTTTACATGTAATGGGTGAAAACTGGAAAGAATTCAATGTCCACGAACAGATGAATGAATAAGTAAATTGTAGTACATCCATACAATGGACTATTACCTCTCAATAAAAAGGAATGAACCACTGATACACACGACATGGATGACTCTCAAAACAATTATGTTACATGAAAGAGGCCAGGAAAAAAGGAGTACATACTATGTAATTACATATAACATTTTCAAAAATGCAAACTAACCTAAGGTGACAGAAAGCAGATCAGCGGGTGCCTAGTGATGAAGCAGAGACGGGGAAGGAGGAAGGAGGAGGAAGGGCTTACACAGGTACATGAGGAAATGTGTGTGTGACATGAGTACGTTCATTACCTTGATTACAGAGTTAGTTTCATGGGTATATTCATATGCCAAAATTGATCAAACTGCATGCCCTACAGATGCACAGTTTACTGTATCTCAGTTATATCTCAACAAGGCTATTAAACATCCAGAGGACTTCACATGCAATGATGGAGCAGGAGTTAGAGAGAAGATACATGCAAGATCCACTAGCACTGGGATTTAATCTATTCTGATGACCATGTAGCTCCAGGGCCTAAATCCATACCTAGTACAGAAGAGGGTCAGTAAACACAATATGCAAATACTCATCCTCACACCAAAACAACAACACACATGCAGGGGCAGAGTGGATCCCAAGGCTGGCCACAGGTGATTGCAACAGAAAACTGAAGGCACAACAAAATTCTGTCTGAGTCATAATTCTGTGATTATGCTTATCAGCATTTTTCACAGTGATCTGGTCTCACACATTAAAAACTTACGTAGATGTAATAGAGGTTTCTGCTCTAAAACGTATAGTAAACCAGTGAACATTCTTAGCCTTAGAGGAGAGTTCTGTTAGACATGGCTTTACTCCAAGTGCCAAGATAAGGGTATGTTTCTTTTATATTCCAAACTGACAATCTACATCTTCACATTAATTTTCGTTTCTTTAATGGAACCACTTATGTTCTCTCTCATAAAAAGTTATCTTAGGACCTCTTTGGTACATTTAAGTTCACTGTTAAAACAGAATCAATCCATTTCACTGGTTTATTGCTAAGCTTTGGAAGTAGCAGAAAATTTGGTCTGATGATCTCAATTTCTTGATTAAAAAAGACCTCTTTGTCCCATAACATTTAAAAGGAGTGTTTTGATCCTTAAAAAAATGTCATGAATCGATTTTCTTAGCAATGGTGTAGCAGACGTTTCAATTACAAATTCTGTCTACAATCACTATATATTGCACCTTCCTACCGGAAGCCTGCGATTGACATACACTGTGGTAATGCTTAGGTCTGCGAGGGGCAGAGTCTGTTCTAAGGTTCTAAGGGGCAGTGTGGGTCCTAACTTAGCCAACTAGAGGCCACAAGGGTAAGGATACTGAGGTTTTAATTATGTCCTGTCTCCAGAAAACCTCAAAGCACATGTCCTTAGCAGTGGATTGATAACATTTCCAATGAATAATGGCTGTCCAGCAAGAGGTGGGCAAGCACTTGGCCGGATAGGGTGTGTTGCTAATTATAATCAAATGAATGTGATAATCACATCTCATTATGAGTAAGCACAATTCCAGGTTGTGCTAAGAATTTTTTGAAAGAATCATTTTGGGTTTGGTTTTTGTTTTTTAATTTATTTTTTTGGTGGGGGGTGAATTTGGTTGGTTGGTTGGTTGGTTTTTGGAGGAGGTACTAGGATTGAATCCAGGACCTTGTGTATGCTAAGCATGTGCTCTACCACTTAAGCTATACCCTCCCCCTCCAAAAGAATCATTCTGTTAATTGGTATAATTCATATAAGAAGTTGGCCACAATTATGAGAAGGAACCTAGGAAGATAGGAAAGTGAAGAGGGAGGGAGAAGAGATGTGAACTAAGATTATAACACTATTCTGTGCCTGGCACTGCAGACATTACTTCGTGGGACGCCCATGACACTGCCACGAAGGAGCTCTAACTGCCTTCACTTTGCAGGGGAGAGAACTGACAGTCAGAGAGAAGTAATTAATCCCGAGGTCACGGCCCCGAGAACACTGGAGCTCGGTTTCTAATTCAAGCCTGCTGACTCCACAGTCACAATATTCTCATTACTCAACGCAAATTACCACAGAAAGAATTTAATAGAAGAAAAGCAAATAAAATACTTGGATAATTTTGCTGATGCAAACGTCAGCTACAAGCTGCCCTGACGGCGTGTCACCGTGGCCCGACTTACTTCAGGGAGGAATCCCCGACGCCAATGCAGCCGCGCAAGCTGAGCTTCCTCAGGAACCCGCCGCAGCGCTTGGAGATGTTTTCCACCACGCGACCCTTGAACGGACAAAGTTGGAAAAAATCCTGTTTTTCGTGAGGCTTATCTAACAGCAAAATCACCTGAACTTTAGGAACGAGAAGTATTTTGGAACATTCCTCCCCCGCCCCACTTCTGCCCCTGGTGTATAAAGGAGCTGCAAGCCCTGAAACATGTTTTCAGTTAAAGCATTAAGTGTTAAAAATGAATCGCACACTTCAGTTTGCAAGCCTCCCCCCCGGACTTAGGTGTCTCCTCGCCAGGGCTCACAGCTCCTCCACCCACTGCAAGTCCTTGTGAGCTCAGCTGCGGGGACCCTGGCTGCTGAGCAGAGATCTCAAACAACGATGCCTAAAGAAAGAAATTCTATTTTAGCTAAATGTTACCACTCTAAAAATTAGAAAATGTATCATAAAAGCTACCCCTCATCCTTCTTAGCAATCCCCTATTTAAACACGTTTGCTTTGAAAAAGGAACTCTGGCTGGGTCCTGGCAGATACGTTAGGGGAGGCAAAATGAAAACGAACATTAAGACTTTCACTTTTTCAGGCATGATTTTAACCCTCTGTTGTATCCATGAGGGCTCACTTAATATTCAGGACAACCATGAGGAGGTACGAAGAGAATGTGTGGCCACAGAAGAAGGTCTCCCAGCAAGGACAGACCTCGCGATTAAAGTCGATGGAAAACTACGGGGCCACCCCAGCAGGGCCACTGTGGGCCTATACACCTCTCACGACGGCCCAGGTCACTTACCAGGTAAAGAACCACCAGTCGAGGTGCCTGCTGCAGACCGAGAATACAGAAAGGGCAGGAGAAGATGGTCATAAACACCAACTCTGTCCTCGTGACCAGTTGCAGAAATTAGGGCTATTAAACTGTCATGAGGATTTTCTCCCTATTGTGTTATCAATGTGTGTGTATAAAACACATATATTTCGTCTTTTCCTCTCTTATTCACTCACCATGTGACATAAGATGTGTTGACTTTATATCATAGTTTTAAGTACTGTTAATTCTACATCATTGTACTTAAGGCACAGGATATCAGGGAGAATAGTGAACATCACTCCAAGACCTCACCTCCTCTTCTAAGGGAAAGGTTAGTGTATTTTGGGTTGTTCATTGGATAGTTGTATCACATTACGTGGAATTATGACTTTGTTCTTGTCTTTATTTGGAGAGTAAGTATGGTTTTAAGGAGATGCCTATGGGTGCCAAGAAGACAAGGGGCAGAATCTGTGATGATTAATTTTACGTGTTGACGAGACACAGGATGCCCAGACGTTTGGCCAAACAGCACTCTGGGTGTGTCTGTGAGAGTTTCTAGATTAGCATCTGAATCAGTAGACTGAGTAAAGCAGATGGCCCTTCCCAATGTGGGTGGCCTTCAGCCAATCAACTGAAGACCTGAACAGAACAAAAAAGCCTGAGTAACAGGAACTCCCCCGCCTGACTGCCAGCCAGACGTTAGTCTTTTCTGGCCTCTGACTCAGATTGAAACATCAGCTCGCCCAGGTCTCCAGCTTGCCAACTGCAGATCTCAGGACTCCTCTGCCTCCATGATCACATGGCCCAATTACTTATAATCAATTTCTCTCTCTGTCTGCAACCATATACACACGTTATCTTACTGGTTCTGTTTCTCTGGAGAATCCTGACTCATACAAACGGGATCCATTATTTTCGCTTTGCAGAAAAAGAAAGTAAGCAGTTAAACTGCCAAGGTCACACGCCAGTGAGCAGGAGAGTTGGGCTTATGACAGGTTTATCTGATTCGAAAGCCTGTGTGCTCTGCACAACTTCTACCTCCTCAAGGAGGAAACGTTGAAAAGGCCACTTTGTTTAGTTTTTAATACTATTATCCTCACTTAATAAAACAGCAGTCTTGACACTGAACTGCAAGCATTAAGAATTCACTAGGACACATCCAACCCTAGGATCACAGAGGCAGGGCTCACACATATTATTACCAGCTAACCTCTTAATTAAGTCGAAAATGCAAACTGATACTGCTGGTGGCTTTATCTACGCTTTCTTGATCAAGTCTTACCTAAGTTAAGAATTAATCTTTGAAATAAAACTCCAGGCAACTATAAAATAAATTTCTGCCAGTGGGAGAAAAAAAAAAAGGTTATGACTTGGAAACCCAAGATAAATATTTAAGTACTGAATAAAACAGCAAAAACAACTCCACACCAACGTCTACAAATGGAGCATACGACCTGTTTTCTCCATTTCAACTCAGTCATGTTTATATAAACCTTATATTCTCCCTTTCTTTGGAGCAAAGGTTTTTGTATTGGAATAAAAAAATTACATTCAGAATTTTCTACTCCATTGTTTCCAACTAATAGAAAAAAATGAGCAAACCTTTTCCAAATGCAAAATTCAAGTCAATGATTCTGTATATTATCTATGAGACAGTATGTTGCATGTATGCATTTTAGAAAGAAGTGCTTTACAGAAAAATAAGGCCCAAATGGAGGGATTCTTGGGTTTATGGCTCATACATTAACCCACTCCTTGGATATTTCTCAATTTTTTTTGGTTTGTTCTTTAATTAGGTTTACTTATTTATTTATTTTTTTTAGAGGAGGTACTGGGGATTGAACCCAGGACCTTGTGCATGTTAAGTACGTGCTCCACCACTTGAGCTATACCCTCTCTCCCCTTGGCTATTTCTCATTTTTAACCTCGAAGACTCTTCAATATCCATGAAGACACCGACAACAAAATCTCTATTTTTTTAAAGGCACAGAAAATGCCTAAACATCAGGGAAACAGCTCAGGAGACAGTGGGGCTCAAGGAGAGACAGGAAGCACACCTGTCACCTGCACGCTTCACTCTGCCCCCTTCTTTGCAATTCAACAATCACGTAGCCACTGTTCAAGGCACCTACTCTCTCCTCTTACTAGGTGACTTACTAGGTAACCTTATGTAAGTTATGCAAACTTCTTGTGCCTCAGTTTCTTCAGTATGGTGTTTTTGAGAGGATTCAATGAATTAATATCTGTCAAGTGCTTAGAATAGTGCCTGGCCCATTGTAAATACTATTAGTAGATCAATCCTGATGCCTGGCACCTTCTCTCAACACATCCATAAATCACCATTTTCATCCCAGAGAGACGAATTTGAGAACATCCATGGGATGTTTCCCAGGTGAGAGATATCTAGTGTCTATGGGAGACCCCATACCTGACTCACAATCTACCCTGGATTGAATGTGCTGCCCCAAAGGGGAACTAAACAGTATTAGACCAGATGTTTCACATGTAGGTCTCAACAGAACTGTAAACACAAACTAGTCTCTCCTTTAATGGAAGTGTGCAAATATTTCTGCAACGTGTGCACATAGTTGCAGTCAGCAATTAGCTCTAAGTGTGAAATCAGATAACACACAAGATAGTGACGTTCACCTGAAACAGTATTTTTTAATATCTGAATTTACAAGTTTTTTATGTGCCTTCCAAAAAGCTGTAGTTTGGAAAGAAACTGAGGAGACCATAAGAACCACAGAAAAAGAAAACATATTTTATAAAATTTTTTTTAAACCAGTAACTCTCACTTGGCCAGTGGAAATGACTACAATTTTTGGAATTTAATGTTCTCTTCAACATCACTAAGTAAATACAATGAACAAAGACCTAGAGATGAGCAGCTCAAAGAGGAATTACATGTCAGCACTTTGGGGTGGGGCGCATTGCAATCACTGCTTCACATCTGCAAAGAGCAGAAAAGATTCAGGGACCAGGGGCCAAGCCCAGAACTAGAGCTTATCTTTCCAGGGCGTGAGAAGCCCTGACGTCCCGGCCCCCTTCCAAGCTCAGACCTCTGCCACCGGAAGGGAGGCCAACTGTGGGAAGCCCTGTGCCCAGCCCCACCTCCTGTACTGCTTCTGCTCCACTGGTCTGAGATGGGACCAGAGACAGGCAGGCAGCAAGCCACCTAGAGGAGGTGAAGGGCCTCGACCACCGGCCGCCAGTTCTTACGTGACTTGCAGAAATTGTCAAATCTCTCCATCTCACTGTTAAATGCATTCATTTCCTTATCCGTTAAAGAACACACAAAGCATAGACTTTGATAAAAACACATGATGAACACACTACTTGGATAGATGTAAATAAAACACAACACGATTGTAACTGAGTTGGCTAAACTAGAAATGAGTAAGGTCTTCCCAACGCTGGGAGGGTAATAAACTTCAGACTCTCCAGATCCTTAAACAGCACTGTAGACAATTACTATGTGCAGTGGCCTTTTTCACTTCCCTCTGGTTTTGGTTACAAATTGGTATTTAATATTGAAGTTGTTTTAAAATAAACTTTTTCTCATTTGATCAGCTTTCCCACATTTAAATGAAGATATTTATGTATTTCTAAGTAAATACACCAGGATTCTGGAATTATAAAAGCCTTTAAAGATTA